TGTTAATGTTAAAAATTATAAATAGTAAAATAGAAAAAATGATATAATAATTTAAATATAATCGTTGCATATGTTTTGTGTCTTGGTCTTTAAAAAATAAAATAAGAATGACTTGTACATATATTGAAATTGCAATATATTTCTTCATACATAATTAAAATATACAATTCCTATGTATTTATACATTATTTGTAGTTATTTTAACATTAAACTTAGTGTTAGTAATATATTTGTGGAATTTATATTTATTTTCTTAGTATATCTAAGTGTTTCCATATTTTACATCCATATCTATTCATTTCCAAAGCGCATCTTTGTTTGCATCCATATTCAAATTGTCCAATATGATACCCGATACCAATATTTTAATCATTGTATCAAACACCCATTGATAAGTATCGTGTGGAAATTTTAAAAATTTTGAACCGACACCCACTGATATATATCATGTGGAAACTTCGAACCTCCCCACCTTGATTGGTTATTCCTAGCTCTCCGAACAACTGAGAAAAAAGACCCACCAGATTGTCCCCATCAAACATACGATGGACTGTATATATGGCCCCATGATAATATAAAATGTGGGTACAAAATTTATTTGTTCTCTTAAGAAAACAAATTGGGATCTGCTTGTAGAGTACACCTCATACCAATCTCCTAGCCACATCCCACCATGTATTGGGAACATCTCCCCATGAATAATAAATACAAGTATGGGAGATGTTCTTGATGTGCGGCCAAGACATGCTGTGAGGTGCGCTATATGAGGAGCAAATCCAGACTCTAAGAAAATGAGGCATAATTAAATTCTAAAATTGGGGGTTGGGGATATGCTACCAACCTAATGCTCTCACCAACAAGTTGTTGCACTCGTAAATTAACATCTTCTATAGTTTAGGTTGTGCTTATTTGTGGTGTAAAACAACACCATCTGTTAGGTTTTATTGGCATTTGGATATAGTGAAAAATGTCATCAACAGTTTGGTTTTAAAGGCATTTGGGTGGAGGTTTGGCTTACATCATAAATCCATGTAAAATGTCACTTATAATGAAGTTTTACACATTTTTCAATACTCACTTTTTTTCAACGGTTTATTTTTTTTCAAGCGGTTCGTGTAAAACTCCACTAATAGAGATTTACACTCCAAACAAACGTAGTTGAGAGCGTTGTTGGGTGCAGATCTCTCTCTCTCTCTCTCTCTCTCTCTCTCTCTCTATATATATATATATATATTCCATGTCAACATGTCTCTCCTTTGAGAGAAGTTATTTATCTATTTTTTCCATTTGCATTTTCTCTTATTTTATTTTGTTTTGAAAATATAAAACAATAATCATTGCTTTTGATTAGATTAATAAAATTGCACACTATTAGAGATAGACCTTTGGGTTTTCCAAGCCTTATTATTTTAATGCATGTCATTATTACGTTTAAAAAAGACATTTAAGAGAGAGAGAGAGACATTTGGGTTTTCCAAGGCCTCTTATTTTAATGCATGCTACTATTACATTTAAAAGAGAGAGCGAGAGAAAATAGTAATAATATAAATCAAATAATATAAATAGTTGATGTTAAACAATCAAAAAGTTATTAATTTAAAAATCCACTAAATTTTCACTCAAAATAAATATTAACAAAACTTAATAAATATTAAAAATGTGTTTAAATTCCACTTAAAAATCAAACTTAATAAGCACTAATAAAATAAGAAATTTAAATATAAAAAATATTAATTGATACTTTTAAACTTTTAATAATATTATTAGATAACTTATGAGTTGAGACCTTTATTGTGCATAATGAACTCATTAAAAATGAAAAAAATTAATGAAAGTTTTAAATGTAGAACCCATTTTATTGATAGTATTTTATTGCAAAAATTACTGAATAATAATGAAAAATATCAATAATTAATTAAAAATATAAAAATATTAATTGATAGTTTTAATAATATTATTAGATAACTTTGTATTAATGCATTTTTAATTAATTAATAATTTTTATGAGTTGAGACCTTTATTGTACATAATGAAATCATTACAAATGATAAAAATTAATGCAAATTTAAAATGTAGAACATGTTTTATTAACAGTATTTTATTGTAAAATTACTCATATGCAAAAATTACTAAATAATAATGAAAAAGTACCAACAATTAATTAAAAATCATGAAAATTATGAAAAACCTAACATAATTAAAATAATAAAAATATTTTATATTTATAAGGGTATTTATTGAAAATAATTAAAAAGTACAATTAATAATATTTTATTATTAAAAAATACCAAAAATTATTATAAAATACCCAAGCTAGAAATTCTTGAAAAATATTGCAAATTAGTTGTATTTTTATTAACTATGGTATTTATTTAGTTATTTAATTTATTTTTACTAAAAGCAAATGCAAATTAATTTTGTAGTGACTAATATGCAAAAATAAANACTAAAAATAATTTAAAAATTTAAATTATTTGTATTTTATTGCAAAAAATACCAAATAATAATGAAAAAATAACGCATTTTAATTATTAATAATAATTATTTTTAAACTCTAGTTAATAATAATTATAATTTAAGCTATAAATAGTAGAAAATTATATTTAATTACCTTAAAATTACATTTAATTAGTTTTAGCCAATAAATTAGCAATATTTGTGAAAATATGTTAATTCTTGAAATTAATGTATTTTAAATAAATATAGTAATTTAATAATTACAATATTTTAATAATAACTAAAAAGTAACAAATCGTTTATCACTCAAGTAACTATTAGATCTATAAATTTGTAGGATTAAGCAATTATTTTCTTTTGAGTTAGGTCTAGCTGAGATGCACCATGCCCACACATTTTCAGGGATAATGAGATTCAAAGTCTAATTGGCTAACAAACTTTTGGAGTCCAATGATGGTTTTAGTGGATAGGGCCCAAGCTAAATAACTCAAATGTGTGGGCATGGTTTTAGCAGATGCACCATGCATATCTGGTAAATATTATTATATAATATTTAAATAATAAATTTTATTTTGATATATATATATATATATATATATATAAATGTTATATATATTTATACTAAACTACAATTAAATAAAAATTTTAATTTGTAAAAACCCATACTTTTATAATTAACACGGGCCTCTTTATCAACAAAAAATGTGCAAGTCCGAGCTCAAGCTCGAGCTTGTGTCGAAACCCAACCCTTATATAAAGCCCGAAGCTCGAGCTTGAGCCGAAAGCCTAATCTGTACACCAAAATGTCTTATTTTTAGTATACTTTTGTAAACTAATATTATATTAATTTAGTAATAATTTAATAATTTAATAAACTAATTTGTATTATCTAATAGTAAACCGATATTTATTAATAATTTAAGAAGCATATATATATATTATTTATTATATATAACATAAGTATTTTTTTATATATGTAATAGTGTCATGCCAGGCTTATTTGAGAAAGCTCGAGCTTGAGCCCATGGGCTTGAAATTTTGTCCAAGCTTGAAAAATAACAGGGTTAGGTTGAACCGTCAGGCTACCTGGCCCATGAATAGGTCTAATTGTATATATAAACAATTGTATACATTAAAAATCATATGAAATAAAAATTTAAACTTCTTTTTCATTTTTTTTTAAATGGACCTCTCATAGCTTGGCCTAGTTTGCGGTTTGGCTTGGTCCAAGGCTTATCTCATGAACCAGCCTAACCCACGACACGACACGGGCCTGTGTGGGCCATGCCGAACTGACCCCCCAAATTATCCCAAGGGAGGGAGGTACGACCTAGGACACCCCATGGGCCAGCACGACATAGCCCACACATTGTATGGGCCACATGTGGGTTGTGTCGTGGTAGCCTAGCACGACCCGATTTACACCACTACTTGAACTCATCCAATATTGGGGACAGGATAGGGAAATTTGAGGATTCCTTATCCTTGATGAGTGGGGTGCCTTGCCCCTAAACTCGCCTGACATTGAGGAGTGGTTGCCTTACTCCAAACTGGCCTGACATTGAGGGCAGGGCGGGGATGGGGTAGAGTGTTTTGACTATGGGGTAGGGACAGGGATGAGATGCCCTCCCTACCCTGAACCCACCTCGTTGTCATTCCTATATAATTGTTAATTATTAGTGAAATTAATAAAAATATTAACTTTTGTAATTTTATTTATTTAAAGTTAATCAAAATTTCATTTAAAAATAATAAGAATAATAATAATAATTATTATTAAGATTACTACAAATTAATTTTAATTAATTAATAATATTTTTTTTATTAATTTAATATAAATAATAAATAAAACTATTAAATCTTGGGAGAAGTACCAATCAGCCAGATCAAAATTTACTAGGCCCAAAGTAAAGGGGGAATGCATCTTGACCTTGAATTGATGCCAAATTCATGGCAGGATGTGGTTTATAGGGGGAGAGGACTACTTATAAGATACTGGAATTCAGAATTCTGCATCGTGTGTTTTCGTACTTTTCCCTTAAATGTTTCACATTTTCTCGTACATCGCACGGGCCCGCTGGTGTAAACAATAAAGGAAAAAGGTTACATGCCGTGGTAATTGCTAGCAGACGGATTTCGGCCCCCACAGAAAGAAACATCTTAATCAAGTTGCACGCAGATTTTGAATTCTTTGAAAGCGGAATCCAAAGTCAAAACCTTTTTGATATTTGTAACGCGGGATTCGGGATCCAAGAATTGGGATACTGAGATATTCCTTCCTTCCACCTCCACGTGAAAGGCATTCTCACTCTCCTCGCTTGTAGTAACTCCCGCTTTGTTAAATACCCCGCAGCTTTTCCCTTCAGCAATTCTCACGTTTTTCCACGTGGCAGAATACGCTCGCTCTCTAACCTATTTACCACTTACCGTACATATATCGGTTGGAAGGGGGGAGAGAGAGAGGAGGTAGGTGCCTAGGTGGTCGTGGACTCGTGGTGTAGCGCTCGTCATGGTGTGGTGGTGAAGGGAAAGGTGAGGTAAGAAGGGTGGGTTGGTTTCTTTAGTTCAGTGGGCTCGTTTCTGCTGCTGATTTGTATCTGGCTTTGACTTCTCGAGCTTCAAAATAGTGGTATAATATTGCGTCAAACAAATTTAAGAATTTAACACTTTCGTTTCGACGCATTCTTCCTTGATCTGAGACTTGGAGAACTCAATTCCTTTCTAGAAATCTGCAATATCTGTTGGTACTCGCCGGTCCTGGCAAGTTTCCAACTTTCTCCCACCATTTTTCTTCGTTTCTGTTGACTTTTAGTTGCTCGATCAAGGGTTTTTTATATTGTCTATCCCGCCATTTTTCTGGGGGTTTTCTTTTTTGAGGTCTCCTCAGTTTCCAGCTTTGATTTTGGGTGAGAGTTTATCAGCTGTTTTCAATTGTTTGACATTTCCTCTGAGATTCTGTTTAACGTTTTTCTTTTTGTTACGATTTTCAGTTGTTGGAGCAGGAGGGCTTCTCGGGTTGTCGTTCGAGAATCAAGTGCCTTTTTCTTTGTTGAGTAATGGCGAACATCGACATCGAGGGGATCTTGAAAGAACTGCCCAATGATGGCCGAATCCCCAAGACGAAGATCGTGTGTACGCTGGGTCCGGCTTCTCGATCCGTGCATATGATCGAGAAGCTTCTCAGAGCCGGAATGAATGTTGCCAGGTTCAATTTCTCGCACGGGACCCATGAATATCATCAGGAGACATTGAACAATCTCAGGACCGCTATGCAGAACACTCAGATCTTGTGTGCTGTCATGCTTGACACTAAGGTGGGTTTGCAAGTCTTTTAGCTCGGAAATTTGATTTTTTTTTAAAATTATTTTTAATGAATTTTTATGGTTCTGTGGTTATTTTCCATGAAATGTGGTTGATTTGTTACCAGATAGTGTTGGGGTAAACGTATAATTGACTGATGAAAGAGAAAGGCTGCAGTTGAAATGCAGCTAAGAATGTTTGTCTGTTTAATTTGGGTATTTATGAAAACTTTCTTCAGATTTTTTTTAACGCAGAACAGTTCTAGAAGAAAAGCTATAACTGAGTTATATAATGTGCTGTCATGCTTGATGCTGGGGTCGGCATAACATAGGAATTCTGATAAATTCTGTTTGTGTGCTATTAGTGATCTTCATGGAGTTTATTATATACTTCTTTAGTTAGATTAGATTATGCCTAAGAAATATTATTGCTTTTATTCTCTTTTCCCTTCTTCATCTATAAAGTTTATTGCCTTGTTTTGTCTTTCCTTACCTTTCTTCAGACTTCAGAGTTGGTTTTGTTGAACTGTCGAATATTAGGAAAAGAATAGCTAAACTGGAACTAAATCTTAAACCGTTTGTTTTGTTGAGACCCATGTTATATGCCTAAGATGCTATCCAAATTCAAGTCCAGATTATATCTTGAAACCAAATAACTAACATTACGTATTGGTTAAGTGGTTATTTGAGAATTCTCAGCTGTTAGTGATTTTTGGAATTGGAGAACGAGAAATATGGAAATGTGAAACACTGCGGTGTAGTTTTCTAACAAGAAACATGGGAATGTTTTTTTGGACGACCAACTTAAGGATAGTTAATTTGAGTTTCTTACCAATAAAAGAAGTAGTTTAAGTTTCTCTGAGTAGCCATTAAGTGATAGTTTTCTTTACTAACAAGAAGGTTCTCGCTATGTATAAGTATGTACATGGATTAATTTATTTGAATTAGAGAATTGAATGAATTGAATATGATTTCTATGGTATTTTGTGCCTTGGTTATATGGTTCTCATACTACCTCAGAGGGTGACATTTGTCACTGATTGATCTGAATCTAATCTTCCATTTGAGTGGTTAAAGTTAAATGTCAAAAATTAGTCTAAGTCTGTTCGAACAATTCTCATTTTTTATTAGAATTTTTCTCTATAACAAGCAATTCTGAGCTAATGTCTTGACCAGTATTTTGGATTTTTTATTTAAAAATAGGTTTAATTTATTTTTTATTTTATTTTTAATTTTATAAATTAAGAAAACTATGAATTGAGATTTTAGGCCAGAAAAGGCATTTCTTGGCCAAAAAACTGTGCCAAGGCACCTTTGAGCTTTGGCATTTTGCAAGTTGCATCACATAGATAGTGAAAAGTTACTAAATAAAAAAAATCTAATATGACCATAAATCACAAAGTTATGGCCTCTAAAGGTTTTTGCACCTCTTCCCTTTTTTTTGTGGATGGGCTAGGTCTCCATCATTTCTTATTTTCACCATCTAGAGCGTGAAAAGCAGCCGAAAACCAGTGGTCACAATAAAAAGTAAACCTAAAATTGAAAAAAAATTAAACCTAAAAATAAAAGTATAATGTAATTCTTTTTTGATAATTGAAAGGTAATTTCATTAATCAAATAGACTAAGCTGTTACAGGCATCCCATGGAGAGGCACGAGGTGCAGCCTCTCCTAGACATTACAGAGAGACAAAAAAAGACGAGAAAAGTTACAAGCTTGTCCAAAATAGCTCTTCCCTGGATACCCCTGGATACCCCTTGTTTGGCAAGGAAGTAAGCATTTGCTGACCTGCTCACCCATTGAACTCTAATTGTCATGTGACTTGTTAAGCATTTAAATTTTTTCATAAGATTCCTATAGCTCCATGTAACTGAATCAGGGTTCAGCAACCAACCCACAATCACCTTAGCGTCCCCTTCAATCAGTAGTTTCTTTATCCCAAGTTGGTTGGCAATCTGAATTCCTTGTATAGCAGCCAACAACTCAGACCTTGTTGAGTCACCTACTCCCACTGAGCCTTCAAACAGTGATAAGATATTGTTCTCCTTAGTTCTCAAAAGTCCTCTAGTCCTTGACAATCTTGGATTTTCTTGGTTGCTCCCATCAAAATTCAGTTTAGTAAAGCTTTCAATGGGGGTACCCAAACTGCTACAGTTCTATTTTTTTTTTCTTCGAGGATATGTTAACTATTACAGCCCAACTTCCGATGGGGGTACCCAAACTTGGTACATTATATGGCTGCTCCCATCAATATAATGTAATTTGCAACTTGTTACCCATCGTCCAGTCAAGCGGTTTGATGGTTCAATCCCTTTTGCTATTTTCTATTTTGCTAGGAGATTTGGAAGGAAAGAAATAGATCTTTGGTCGCCAATAAAGGCATAGGGATCAAGTTGTTTCTTGAGTGGAAAGAGATTTAGGGATTTGGTCTTGATATTTACAGAGTTTGAAGGTGTTTCAAAGGAAGGCTTTGAAATAACTTTTTGTCTTCTTTAGAGTTTAGAATATGGGAGGTGATCTCTTTGTAATTTTGTTCTTTTTTGTATATTTGTTTTTGGTGATTTCTCATCACATCTTGGATGTACATTTATATTCTTATTAATAAAATTTTCTTTTTTATTTTTTTACCAAAATAACTAGTTCTCGCAGTAAAATAATTGAAACATAAAATTAAATAATATAATCATAGTTGTCAAGGCATCGCCTAGGCGACTAGGTGCCCTTGGCTGGGTGCCTTGCCCAAACGCCTTGACTTTTAACAACTAGGTGCCCGCCTAGGCGACAAAAGTGACAAGGTGGGTGCCTTTTATAATATCATTTATATTGTTGTATCTTATTAGTGTATGTGTTAAAAGATTTTATTATATGTTATATATATATATCAATTATACCTTGTTTTAATGTTTTGTTATTGAAGTTTAAAAATCAAAGGGTTTTGAGGAGAGAAAAAGAAAGAAAGAGGAAAGAAGGAATAGAATTATAAGGAGGTTCTTTTTTTTTCTATTTTCTCTCTCTAATTAAATAAAATAGAAACTCCATCCTTGTTTCTTTTATTTTGCTTTCCATCTTGAATATTTATTGTATAAAGTTAATAACCTTATTTAGCTGCCTAATTGATATGAAATTGCTCTTTTAAATACTTATTATAGTAGTATTATTTTTGAAAATAATGAAATCAGTATATGTAAAAGGTTTTTATCCTTCAGATGTGATGATTTTCCACATTTTTAGAGGAAATTTAATGTTCTTACTAAAGAGAATTGCCATTTTTTCAATTAATAATATACACGCTGAATTGTATATAAAACTAGGGAACTAGACAAAAGTTAGTTTTTATATTATAAAATTTTTATTGCCTTGGCAACTAGGCGCCCCCAGTGTCGCCCAAAATTGCCTATTTGCCTTGAAAACTATGAATATAATGTAATTTATAACTTGTGACCCATTGTCTAAGTAAAGTGGGTTGACAATTTCAGTGGTTTTGAGTGCTTCGATCAACTAGGGGTCAAAAGCATTATCTTGACCATTTGACCTTATCGTTCTCTCATTTGCATCACTTGGTTTTGGTATAGAAGGTTAGTTAAACTGGTTTTTGATGGATGCAACATATTTACATCCAGATAGTTATCTTTTGCTTATATTACTTTTGATGTCAATTTATGTTGAATAAGAAAAGATATGGGGATAAAAATTTTGACTAAGCTTTTTAAATACTACACATTTTAATAGAACAAATAATATTTTTTTTTACATTCATAAAATATAAAATATTCAAAATTCAAAATCAAAGAATTGAGTAACAAATTAATACATTGTTACTCAATTACTTTGGGAGATTGGATGTGTGGAAGAGGAACATTCTCTCTTTGGGAGGTAGAATTACTTTGATGAAGTCAACACTAACCAACCTTCTAGTATATTTTTTCTCTGTGTTTAGAATCCCCAAGAAGGTGGTATGTAGGTTAGAAAAGGTGATGAGGGACTTTTTGTGGGAGTCGGGAGAGAGTAGGAAGGATCATTTGGTAAATTGGGGAGTTGTGACTAAAAGCAAGGAGGTGGGTAGTCTAGGAATAGGGAATCTAGCAAAGAAAAACACAACTCTGTTGGGAAAGTGGTTGTGGAGATGGCCGCTTTAAAGGGAAAAGGCTGTGGGTGGCTAGCATTTACGGTGTTTTAGGAAATGGCTGGGGTGCTAGTATCTTTGAAAGGGCAACTTTGGCTTTGCCTCGGAGAGCTATTGGTAGCATTCTTCCTCTTTTCTTAAATCATGTCAGGTATGATGTTTGCTACGGGAACTTTGTTTTATTTTGGGAGGATGTTGGAATTAGGGGTGTAAACGGATCGAATTCGAATAGGATCAGGCAATATCCGAATTTGAATCCGATATCCGAATTCAATTCGACATCTAATGAATATTGAAAATTAATATCCGAATTCAAATCCGATTAAATATTTGAATATTCGATTCGATTCGATTTGAATTCGATTAATTAATTATTTTAGATAATTAATAAATATAGAAAATAAATATTTTATTGATATAAAGTATATAAATATATAAGTTATTTATATAACTTAATTATTATATATATTATATAAAATATTTTATATATTCTATATAAGAATTAAATAATCGGTCAAATTCGGATATTTATCAAATCGAATCAGGTCATATCCGAATTCGAATTCGAATAACTATTCGGTAAGAATAGGATATCCGAATTCGACCTATTAGATATTCGAATTATCCAAATTCGATTCGATTATGTCGAATATCGAATTCGAAATCAGATTTTCGAATTCCGTTGACACCCCTAGTTGGAATGGTAATTGCGCTTTGAAAGATCTTTTCCCTTCATTGTACTATTTCTTTGTTGAAAAAGAAGCCTATTTCTAGTTTCCTTGTCCAGCCTTTGGTTCCTTTGTCTCCCAAATGGGACTTAGGTATCAGAAGGGGTTTGAGAGATAGTGAAGTTGGGGAGGTGGCTCAGTTGCTAGAGGACTTTTCACTTGTGCCTCTTTTTTCATCTATCTTTGTTCTTTCTAGGTTCTCCCTGTACCTTCAAGGAGTTTCACTGGAGAATCAATACTATGCATAATCTGCAAAAAAGGAGACCTTATCTTTGCTTGTCCCCTAACTGGGTTTTTTTGTGCAAGGCTAATGGAGAGGATTGGTTCCATTTATTGGTCTCTTGTCTTTCTGGTGCAGAAATCTGGGATTGTTTCTTCTCTTTCTTTGGAAACTGGTGGACACTGCCGTTAGAGGTGAGAGGTTTGTTTTATCTGAACATGTTTCAGTGGCCTAAGAGGAGGGAAAGAGTACTTTGGAGATGCACAAGGGCAGCAGTACTATGAACTATTTGGGAGGAGAGGGATGCAAGGATCTTTTTCCAAAAGGAAAGAAGTGTAGAAACAGTGGAAGAGTGTATAGTGGTAAAGGTGATACATTGGGTGAAAACCTTGGACTTATTTTCTCATTTTTCCTTTGATGACGTATGGAGGAATTGGGGCCAGGTGGCTGCTAGTTCAGCCAGAAGGAATATAACTGCTGTTTCTTGGATTCCTCTTGAGAACAAATACTTAAAGCTTAATTTTGATGGAAGTAGCTCTGTTTTCTGGACCAGTAGTTGTGGTGTGGGTGACTCAATAAGAGCCGAGATATTAGCAGTTGTCCAAAGTTTGCAGATAGCAAGATGGTTAAATTTGAACAGGATAATTGTGGAAGGGGACTCCAAGATAGTAGGGGGCTGGTTACAAAACCCAGAGACGGTTATTTGGAAATTCAGGGATGAGCTGAAGAAGATCAAGTCTCTCACTACTAACCCATCAGTGATGTTTCAATGGCAGAGGAGGTTGGCTAATGGATTGGCTGACTTTCTAGCCAAGCAGGGGGGTAATAGGGATCAGCTTTTCTGGGGTCAGTTGTAATTTTTCCTCTTTCTTCTTTGCTGTGGGTTGAGGTGAATCTCTCACCTCTCCCCTGGCTGATTGTATTGATGTCTTTCTGATTTTAATGAACTTCACTTACCTATCAAAAAAAAAAAAAAATAATACATTGTTGTACAGCATTTTCAATACAACTTAGGTTGTGTTTGGCATTATTGTTGTTTGTACTAGAAACGTTTGGGGGTTTATTAATACAAATTTTTTAGAAATTATCTTTTCACATCACATCAGATAACCACTTCTGCTAAAAAAATATATGCATTTGATTGGTTTTGGCATTTATAGTAGAAACATCAAATTTGACATTTCATGAAGAAGCAACAGTACCAAATGCTGTATTGATAATTTCTTGTTGTAACCTGGTTTTTCTAATTAATGAAATCTTTTCTGTGTTGCTGATAAAAAAAATTCCAAGCATTTGTGGTAGAAAAAATATATTCTCATAAAATTTGTATTGACCAACCTAAAATGTTGCAAGTAGAAGTGTCAATGGTACCAAACACAAGTATGGAGGTGAGGCTTCAATGGGTACAAAGGGCAGCAAACAGCTTTGCCGATAACTTAGCAAAGCAAGGGATTGGAAGGGATCAAATGTATTGGGCAAAGCTTACAAAACAATTGTATATTTATACACCATAATGTTTCATTATTAATAAAATTTGATTGTTGCTGATCCAAAAGAAAAAAAAAGGAAAACAACAAAAAACTTAGCATTACAACCACCAAACATTTCCTAATAAACTTTCTTTAACAGACTGCTGGCACTTGCAGGCCCTACTAAAAGTCCTATTGGTTCCCTGACTTCCAATGAATCTCTCTAAATTGTGGTTAACCCCTTATCTTGTTTTTTCTTTTCTATTTGCATCTGAAGGTAAAACATGGATTCAACTGGACCACACCAGCTGATTGAACTGGTTTATAAGATCCAGACCCTTTCTCGTTTACAAATATGAACCACCCTGTGAGAAACCATTGATTTTGGCGAAAACCAATTGAACCGGGAATTCTTTACATTTTTTACTTCTATACTTAAAATTTACTCGACAATGTCAAAAATCAAGCTGGTTAAACCATGCTAGAATTGAATGTTTCCACGAGTTTCCACCGTAGATTTACTTCTGAGTTGCAGTTTGATTCTTGTTATATCTTACCATAAACAAATTGGTATGAATGGTAAGTGTTTTGCTTGAAGAGCTACTTGGCATTTCTGCCTTGCACCTCATTTCCTCTTTGTTCTTTTTGGCAGGGACCTGAAATCCGAACTGGATTCCTAAAGGATGGAAAACCTATTCAACTCAAGGAGGGTCAGGAAATTACAGTAACTACTGACTACACCATCAAAGGGGACACAGAGATGATCTCTATGAGCTACAAAAAGCTTGCTGTGGACTTGAAGCCTGGTAACATCATCCTATGTGCAGATGGAACCATCACCCTTAATGTCTTATCTTGTGACCCTGCTGCTGGAACCGTGAGATGCCGCTGTGAGAATACTGCCATGTTAGGCGAGAGAAAGAATGTCAATCTCCCTGGTGTCGTGGTTGATCTCCCCACACTTACAGAGAAGGATAAGGAAGACATATTGGGATGGGGTGTACCCAACAAGATAGATATGATTGCCTTGTCATTTGTGCGCAAGGGATCTGATCTTGTCAATGTCCGACAGGTTCTTGGACCCCATGCCAAGCGCATACAGCTTATGTCAAAGGTATGCCAAGTTATCTGAGTGCAAAATCATCCTGCTTGATTGAGTTGGAATAATAAAATATTGAGGTATCCTTTACATAATGGACGAAAATACAGGCTTAGGGGCTTAGCCAAGATCCATTTTGTCCTACATAGGAAGTGTAAATGAAAAAGTCAATTTTGGTAAGAGCTGCCCTTCCAATGTCACATTCTTCTGGATGGATGTAAATGAAAACGTCAATTTTGGTAAGAGCTGCCCTTCCAATATCACATTCTTCTGGATGGATGAGAAAATCTCTTCCAGTAAAGAGAAAGCGCCAGTGTCTAATGGTTAGGATATTTTCATCTAATCCTATAATTCTCAAATGTAAGAGTTGTGGGACATATCGAATATTGGGTTTTACACCATCTGAAGATTTCGCTGTTGGTGCTGAAGGGTTCCCTTGATTTCCTCTTATTAACATTATTACATTGTTCCTAATGATATTTATAAAAGAAGTATGCTTTGTCTTGTTTATCGTCTAGTAACTGGTTATCTTTTAAACTTTTGAAGGTTGAGAACCAGGAGGGAGTGGTCAACTTTGACGAGATCCTGCGTGAGACTGATTCATTCATGGTTGCTCGTGGTGATCTTGGAATGGAAATCCCAGTCGAGAAGATCTTTCTTGCTCAGAAGATGATGATCTACAAGTGCAACCTTGTGGGCAAGCCCGTGGTTACTGCCACCCAAATGCTTGAATCCATGATCAAGTCCCCCCGTCCCACTCGAGCAGAGGCCACTGATGTTGCCAATGCTGTCCTTGATGGCACTGACTGCGTCATGCTCAGCGGTGAGAGTGCAGCTGGAGCCTACCCGGAGCTTGCTGTGAAGATAATGGCCCGTATATGTGTTGAGGCAGAGTCCTCCCTCGATTATGGTGCCATTTTCAAGGAAATGATTAGGTTAGCACCTCTACCAATGAGCCCTCTGGAGAGTCTTGCCTCCTCAGCAGTCCGAACAGCCAACAAAGCCAAAGCAACCCTTATTGTTGTGATGACTCGTGGTGGGACGACAGCTAAGTTGGTAGCCAAGTACAGACCTGCAGTGCCAATCCTTTCTGTTGTGGTCCCTGTTCTGACAACAGATTCATTTGACTGGACATGCAGCGATGAGACTCCAGCAAGGCATAGCTTGGTATACAGGGGTTTGATCCCACTACTAGCTGAAGGATCTGCAAAGGCAACTGATGCAGAGTCCACAGAGGTGATCCTAGAAGCTGCACTCAAGTCAGCAATACAGAGGGGGCTATGCAAGCCAGGTGAGGCAGTGGTAGCACTACATCGTATAGGAGCTGCCTCAGTCATAAAGATATGCATTGTGAAATAAAATGGAAGGCAAAGGCGTAGTATATTGTTGCTTCAATTTTGGGAGAGCAATTATGTAGAGTTGTTTAGTTTATGGTACCTTTTGTTTTTGTTGAAAAAACTGCTATTATAATTCTTCCTGGCCTAAGTGGGCTGCAGCCTACAGGGAATATTTTTGATTTATACTTTGGTTTTTCTTTTCTGGTAATATGATATTCTTCCTTGGATACATTATCATTCAAGTATGTGATTTTGTTTGTCAGGTGGTGCTGATTAGAATGATTAATTGGGTTTTTAGTTTTTACCAAACATCAGCTAACAATACCACATATACCATACTGAAGAGGAATAAGGGTTTGATTGAGATTGAGGTTTCTACTTTTTAGCCCCGGCTTGGGAGTGCTTATTAATAAGTAGCTGGTACTATTGCTTGGCTAATTAACTGACTGTCAGTGGCTATTATTTGCTCGTGGAATATAGGAGTAATTGCACACAGAAAAGGAAGAGGATAACCTTCCGCAACCTCCAATAAAATGACTCACCGACAGACATTTATCAAGGTTTAAGCAATATTACTCTCAACAGTGACACGAACAAGGTCCTACTCTTGAGCAAACTGCAACGCCCAAAGGATCGCAAACGCTTCTGTTTCTTCCTCAGAGAACAGGTATGAAGTTTCTACATTAACCCAGCACCTTAAGAGTTCAGACGAAGTCTCCACACAAACAAATGAACCAGGGGATTCGAATATTCAAGTGGGCATTCAACCCTAAAGGGATGTAAATTGGACTGAATTTGGTCCAATCCAATTAATCAAGGTTTTTAAAACCGAATCAGACAATTAATCGGTTAGGGGTCCGTTTCCTGGGTTGAATGGTCTGACCGTTCGAATCAAATGGATAGTCTGTTTTAACAAAAAAGAAATTTAGAAAAAAAATAAAAACTGGTCAAACCGTTGAACGGTTCAACCACCCAGGTCAGCAGTTTTCTGACCAAATCAACGGTTTTTAAGGTAAAACGGAACAATTTTTTTGATTTGACCATCCGGTCCAATCTGGTTTTGAAAACCATGTGCATTGATTCCAACCCAAACCTAGTGCATTGACACTCGTATTCTTATCTTACATCAAAATCCAATCCAATATATCTGGATTGATTCAATTCAATATATCTTATTGGTCTATCCAAATCAATTTTTAGAAACCGGTCCCATTGACACATTACACTTTTGCTGCATGATTGGATTCGATATTCACTGTCCTTGTATAACTCGGGCAATTGTTGACCAAAAAGAAAAAAAATAAAGTAAATTTTTAGGGAGAAGTACCAATCAGCCCAGATCAGAATTCTCTAACCCCAAAGTACAGGGGGAATGTATTCTAACTGTGAATTGATGCCAAATTTACGAACAGAATGTGGTGTAGAGGGCTAGTAGTAGGGGGGGGGGGCTGGAATTCAGAATTCTGCATGGTGTTTTTGTACTTCCCCCAAATTTTTATCCCCAATTCCTAATTAATCTTTAAAGTGAGGTACATTGAATGATAGATATGAACATGGCAGATGGAAAGTTATGGTGGACGCCAAAGTCCAAGCCGGTTATGGTTATAGTTATGGCTATGGGTCCTCTCTGTCCCTGATTCAATCCTTTGCCTGGCCCCTGGGTTTTGTATTGAGCTAAACGACTGCAGCCCGCAGGATCACGTGGTCTGCTATCTAGAGGACCCCTTTGATTTCTTTTTGACTTTCACATAATTATCTGCCAGTCTTGTGAAGGCATAATTTTACTATTTTTGCATATTATTAACGAAAATATTTCTAAATTTAGAAAAAAGATGAAGAAACCCTTTTCTTCACCGTTCAACAAATCCTTCACAATACATTATATCTGTTTTCTTCTCTTTTCTTTCCTTAATTAGTTATTTGATTTCCACACTTTATCTTAATATGTGATTAGGGTCACTTTCTGCCTTTTGCTTTTTTAGGGTTTATAAATATTTTCTTGTTTATTTTTATTTTATTTATTTATATAATTAATAATCTGTTTTTTTACTTAAGAGAATTAAAGAAACTCTAACTCTATAGTTTTGTGCTTTGAATATATATGATATTATATAATAAGATGTTTTATTGCTAAAAAAAAGACTTAAAGGCCGTTTGGCAAGTCTTTTTTAAAAGATATCAAAAGACATAGTGAGATTTTGCATTAAGATCTTGATAGCCTGAAGATAATTTGATTAATGCATGTCTTCTCGTATATCTTTTTATGTGAAGATGAATTGAAAAAATGAAAAACTCAATTTAAAACCTTCCTAAAAACCATCAAAATTACAAGAGTCGAATAATAATGCTATGCACACTTGGAAACACTTGATTTGTTCGTGCATGCGCAGTTATTGATAGAGAGTAACATTTATATAGATTACAATTACATTGTTACAGTGATAACAGAAGCATCTCTTGATGATTCAAGGAGTGAGTGCTACGGCTGCTTTCTATGAGTTAATCGGTGGAGAGAGAGAATGAGGCAAAGCTGCACATGGACCATCTTTATGGACTGATGACTCTCGTAGGCCATTGATAACTTAATCCACCTCAATGTCATTTTACTGGGAAAATTATAAAACCCTCCTTTACGTTTTCTGAAAACCTCCCTAACATTTTAAAAATGTGTAAAAAGTTCTCTTTTGTTAATTTTTCAGATACAAAATTATTGATAATATGCATTATTCTTTTTTAGTTATCAGATTTGCCTTTAACTAATTTTATTGAGATGTACATCTACCAAAAAACTCGACAGATTCTCTTTATATTTCATTTCAATCTTACTCAACCATTGTTTTCAAACCCCCTCTCTTTTCTAATTTGGAATTTTACTAAAGACTGTTAACCATTGACGACAGAGTTGGTCGTGATGGAAGCTATAGAACTTGTCTTGGTTTTTATCTTTTCGGGTCACTTGATGAATTTGCGGTCACGGATTTGCATCGGTATGTGAGCCCGTGGAGTGTTGAGTGGGGTGAAGTTGTAAAACGTTGGTGGTCTTGCGGTCAGGTTGGCAATCTGGCCTCCTAGTTTCTCATTTCGATTTTCGGCCATCATGGTACTTGCGCTTCCGGTCGTGCTGGTCTTCATGCCTTTTCGACATTCATGTACTTTTGTGCGTACTTCATGAGTGCGGCCAGGTTGAGGGGAGGGTTCTTTTGTAGCGAGAGGTTGAACATAGATGAGCGTAGGCCATTCATGATTGTTATCACTGCCACTAACTAGTTTAGAGCTTGGACTTGGAGGGCCTCAACATTGAACCTCGCCAAGTATTCCCTCAAAGTTTCTCTTTTTCTTTGCCGTACTTGCATGAGGATGGTCGACATCTTCCAGTGCCTTTGGCTTGTGGTGAACTGCGCTAGGAACTACGTCTCCAACTGCTCCCACGAGGATATGGACTACGGAGGAAGGGAGGCATACCAAGTCCTGGCGACTCTGTAGAGGGTGGCGACGAAGGCCTTGCACATGAGACCTTCGGAAGAGCCATGCAACTCATCACGACCTTGAACCCTTCGATGTGATCATTGGGGTTCGAGGCTTCGTCGTACTTCTTGAACTGAGGAGGTCGCCAGTCAGTCGATGGGAGCTTGTCCATGATCTCTTGGACGAAGACAAGTTCCTTCGCGGGCTGGCCATGGTGTTGTTCCGTGGGCTGGGCCATTGGAGAAGCCATACTTCTGCCTACTTGGTTGCATTCTAGTTCGGCCAGCTGTTCTCTCAACTCCCTAATCTCAGCACCTCTGTTGGTCAGGGTCACGTCCATGGGCCTTTCTCCTTTTGGGATTGCAAGCCGATCTCATACCAAACTGGATTCGGCTATCGAGATTGGCGGTTGTGGTAGACGCTGACCGAGCCATTCCTTCATCGATATTCGAGTGGAATGATGTGACCTGCTGTGGATGTCATGTGCACGAGACCGGACTGGAGAGTCTAGTCTTCTAGATGGCTGCTGCTTCTCATGGTCGGACTGGGCCCTATGCTTGTTTGTGTGGCACTTTTTAGGGTCCTTAGTGTGAGGATTAACCATGGTAAACGCCTATGTAGTAGGGCGAACGGTCAAGGGGCTTGAGTTGGTTGTCCTAGTGTCTCCATCATTGCAAGGATGCAGTCGACCTTCTGTTGCATTACTTGGAATTGCACGGGGTTGACCGTGGTCTGCTATTGGGGCTCTCAAGGTGGAGAGTTGCGAATGAGAGCGGGAACCCCAAGACAGGAAATCGGCTCCAGAGTGATCAGACGTGTTATTAGGCATGGTTGTTTTGAGTGCCTAGGAGGAGGTTTGAGAAATGGCTTTTTGTGCGCTTTCCATAGACGACACAAATCTGATGTTGTCCGACCAGAGGTATTTCAAACCGAGGACACAGTCAAATAATCATGCCAACTGGATGAAGTCGAGGTGGAAGGACAAAGCCATGCACTAGGACCTGCAACCAAGAGGAAAGGTTAGAGGCCTGAAGAGTTATTCCCTGGGTAGGTACTCCAATGCTCAAGTCAGTTGAATGGAAAGGTAGGAGGTCCGACCGAGCAAGTGAGAACAATGCTAGTCCAAATAGAGAAGATAGAGCAGAGGTATTCTAAGTCCAAAAGTCCTCTACCTTGAGCGGAGATTACCTATTTATAGTCGAATGTTCATGTTCTGAACGGATGAGGTTTCTGGAGTGCTTAGGATGAGGTTGTCCGCCAAGGTCTTCGGGATGTCGCCTATTCCCCAATGGAGTTAATTTTCTCGTCCATGCAGGACACTCATTCTTGGTCATGATTATCTGTCATGCGTGGTACCGACATGGCTAAAGAGAGAAGATGGCCGCCACATAATGTCTTTGGCCAACTCAACCATAACTCAAACAGATAATATACATTATTCTTTTTTTTAATTATCAGATTTACCTTTAACTAATTTTATTGAGATGTACATCTACCAAAAAAACTCCACAGATTCTCTTTATATTTCACTTCAATCTTACTCAACCATTGTTTTCAAACCCCCCTCCCTTTTCTAATTTGGAATTTTACAAAAAATTGTTAACCATTGCTTCACTTGGCCACCACCCTCTTTGTTTATCTTTTCCTTTTTTTTTTTTTAAATTTGAATAATTGCAAAGGTGTAAAAATTATATATATATGTATATGATATTATTTACAAATTTTAAATTATGGATGAAATTATTTTAACAATAATAAGAGTATTTTAGAAATTTTAATATTTTATTACTATTAACATTTTTTTTTTCAAAATGTCATAGGAGATTTTTGTTAGGATGAGAAACAATGTTCAAAGAATCGGATTGAGCATAGAATTTGGACAAGGGAGGGTTAGAGGTTTAACTAGGGTTGAATTGAAGGTTAACAATAATGATATGGCATATACATAAATATACTATAAGTTATATACATATTATATATAATATATTTCAGAACTTTTAATATAATTAATATGGCGTATTGATGATTCAAATTTACATTTTCTTACACATATGTAATAAGTAAACCGGGCCGATCCACCGATGCAGTTTTCTAAACAGTATAGTTTATAAAATAGTAAATTTTTTTTTCGATCAGTATGTTATACTTTGAGCTTAGTGCTATTTTGGCCTCAAATTTTAGAATATGACAATTTAATATTTAAATTTTCAAAATATATCAATTTAATATCTATTGTTAATCAGTCCGTTAAATAATCATTAATAATATTTAAAAAAATAAAATACTTTTTAAACATCATTTAATTTCTTTATCAACCGTCCAAATGTTATTAATAATTCTCTTATTCTGAATCTACTGAAATATGATCCCAATTTTTTTAAATAAAAAAATTAAAAAATTGAGACTGTTTATTTTTATTGTTAATATTTGGATGATTGTTAAAGAACGTTTGATGAAAGTTTCAAATACTAGTTTGGGTAGTAATTAATACCAGGTAGCGAAAGTTTGGGAAATTTTCCCAATAATAAAATAAAATAATTAAAATAACAAATTTCGCTATTTAATTTAACGAATTACATGCAGTAAGCAACACATGTTATAAAATAATAATTAAATATTGAACTCTCCACTGGTGCTCTGGAAGCGCCGGTGCGCTGGGAAAAGGAAAAGGAAATCTCTGGGCGAAGCGAAGGACCCATGGTCGTGGGCACATGGTTTCACTCGGAAAAGTGGTCCGATAGCATTATATTCTTGGGGTTTTTATCTGTACGGATCATCGTTGACGATGACGGTGCCCAGCTGTCTCTTTCTCCGAGCATCAATCGAGGATGATGTCGAGCCCAAAAGATTTGGCTGTCTGAATATCACACATCTGTACGCACAAAACAGCCGAGTAGTGTCCTCTTCAATCTTTTATTTATTATATCCATTTTCCTTCCCCCACAGTCTTCTTCTTCAGTTTCAGTCAGCAGAGAGGTGAGTAAGTACGCTGCTTAAAGCTTGTTTGTTTTCGTTTCCTGGATGGATAGATTTGAGTAGTCGTAATTTTTTTTATCTGATGAAGCTGTAGTTTGATCATTCTCTAACGACTGTAATTCTTTCATTTGTTGTGTTTTAGCTAGTTTTGTTTGTTTTTCTTTACAGTCTATTAGGATTTAGGAGATGCTTAGTTACCCTCTTTGGATTCTGCAAGATTAGGAACGAATCTTTGGTGCATGCAATGCAAATGATCGCTTCTGCTCTTATCTTGTATCTTTTCTGGCTTTCTTCGCTTTATATACTGATTTTTCCGTGGGTTTAGGGTCTTCCACTTTACGTATAGTTCATGTCTTTCCTGTGAAATCTGTAAGGTTTGGTACCGTTTTTATTTTTTTCCCTTTCTTTTGTTTTTTCAAACGTTTCTTAATTGTTTGCTCGTCTTCACTCTCTGATTTTCATCATTTCTAGTAGTTTCTGTCCATCACCTGTTTATAAGGTATGCTTCTGTTTTTGTTCCCCCTTTTCTTTTGAGATCTCAGCATTTGGTTTTTGTCTTAGCTTCTGCTGAATTTCAAGTTGGCACCATGTTCTTTGAGGTTCCACTGGATTTTCCAAGGCTCGTGAACATTTAATGTTCTTCGTTTCAATCGAAATCTATTTCTGTAATCAAGGATTTGAAATTTTTGTTTCTGTCTTTTCCTTTGGACATTTCAATATCTGAGTTACAGAAATATTTGTAATTTTAGCTCTGTTTATTCCCTGCAGAAAAAAAAGCGCTTCAAATCTAACTTGATTGTAGAAAAGCTTTCCATTTTTCTTATTTCAGAATCTTGCAAGCTCTAACTTATCTTTCCTTTTTACAGATTTTTGAAACTTTGAGCGATGTCTAACGTCGACATTGAGGGTCTCTTGAAATTGAAGGAAATCCCGAACGATGGCCGGATCCCGAAGACGAAAATAGTCTGCACTCTTGGTCCGGCGTCTCGATCTGTGCCTATGCTTGAGAAGCTGCTGAGAGCGGGAATGAACGTTGCGAGGTTCAATTTCTCGCATGGCACGCATGAGTATCATCAAGAGACCCTAAACAATCTCAGGATAGCCATGCACAACACTCAAATCTTGTGTGCTGTCATGCTTGATACCAAGGTTTTTAATTTATTGCTTTTTCAGATTTAATTTGGTTGGAATGAAATATATTGCATGCTCTGATTTAAATTGAGCTTTACTGATAAATAGTTTTTAATTCCTCGGATTTAAAATTTTCAGAGGAAGGTTTGAGTAAAAGATCTAATGGTTGAATGCAAAAATGTAGCTTACCTCTGCTTCATTTTACGTTTGGCATCATGCCCGATTTCCTGAAAATCACTGCCATGTTGGAGCCACGTCAGTGCTAGAGCAATTGGCGTTGAAAATTCTGTTTGATTGGTCGATTTTTGTGATTTTCGGGGAATCTGCCAAAAATCGATTCTTAAATTGGCCCTATTCCCTGATTTCCAACTAATTCAGATTTTTTGAGGATGACATGGCATCCGTGTGGCATGAGATAATAACTTCAATGCATAAATAATCGGCCCTTGAGAATAAGTACCAAACAGCCCATTTCTCAAAAATCGGCTTACATGGCATAAATGATCACAAATAATAAAATTCAATGATTTGATTTTTGAAAAATCACCGATTTCAAAAATCACTGGCTTTTTTTTGAAAAACCAGCAAGGAAGTGGGATATTTATGCTTTCCAGATATCTTTTCTTTGGTTTCTTTATTACATATATAGAACAGCTTCAGAAGAAAACCTATAACTCAACCATGTTGCATTGTGTTTCCTTGCGTTAAAGGGCTGAGTAAGCTACCTTCTTTTTCTTCATAGTTGAAGAGAGGTGATTTCTATAAGCCTGCAAGGTTTCATGGATTATCTTTTTGAGAAAGAATATGCATTAAACACATGTGATGTTGCTTTTGGGGCAACTAGTGGAAGGTTAGAATCTAATACAAACTGTTCTTTATTGAACCTCAACTGTTTTTCAATAGTTGAAGAGAGGTGATTTCTATAAGCCTGCAAGGTTTTTCAATAAATGCCTACCAAACATTCATATATATATATATATATATATATATATATGGGCGTTTGTTGAAACACCTATTTGGATCCGACGTGGCACTGTTTTTTTGAAAAATGGCCACGGTTCCAAACATCCCCTTAGTAATAACCTGGTTTTCTGCCTGAAGGTTTCATGTACAATAGCATGTTCATACTGTGGATTTATCTTATGATTTCAGCCAAATTTATGATTTATGTCTCACTTTTGTATACTTCTATTCAGTTCATAAATTTGGCTGAAATCATAAGATAAATCCACTTTTGTATACTTCTAGATGAAAGATATTGGTTATGCTGTTGTTATGTTACTGTATTTTTGGTGTTTGTTTCATTTTCTTTTGTACAACTGTTTCCAAGTTCCCAAGAACAGGGAGTTTGTGAAGATAGAGCAATTTAGCTGGTAAGTTGACCTAGATAGACGTTCCTTATCATATTTCTTATGCCAGAGAGATTTGCTTTTTAACTAGCTGTTTTTTTCCATGTTGTGATGCTTGAAAGTTGAAACTGGTAGATTTAAAGGAGTATTTGCCACTAATGTATGAATTTTCTTATGTGGAAATTTTTGTTATATTGGTGAAAGTTCTGATAGTTGTCCTTAAAAAACTTTTGGTTTCTTATAGACTACAGTGATACTTGCTATTAATGTGAATTTGATTTGTAAAGGACTCCACACTCTAAGGGTATGTTTGGTTTGATAGAAATAAGAGAGAAACAGAAAGTTGAGGGAAATATTGCAAATTGTGTTGAATTCCTGAACAACGTTCCTTCAACTTTCTGTTTCTCTCATTTTCTATCATACTAAACACAGCATAAGGGTGTGTAAGATAAGCATTCCTGATAAGAGCCTTTCCAGTTGTATACAGCTTGTTTTATATTAATGGAGAAAATCCAATTAACACTGGACTTAATATACCTCAAGTTTTGGACAACAGAAAGTCTTAGAACAATAGGAAATCAGTGCATGATGCACCTGCTCAAACTCTGATACCAATTTGATGCAAGCTGGGGTACAACCTGAATCAGCAATAGGTGAAAGGGTAGTCTAGGAAATCACTCAACAGGGAAGAGAGATGGAATCAATCAACATCTCTAGTCAGAGAATCACTTGGTAACTCAAAACTCAAAAGGGAAAACTAAAAGCTTCACAAAGAAAAAACTAGCAAAAGACCTCCACTTTTTCCTCGATATAAATAGAGCTTAGAGTTTAGAGAGATTACAATAGCTAGTTGACTCATAAAGAGTAACATTTAAGACTTCAGACTTCAATGCCACTATCTCAATCTAGTAGATGTAACACAAGTGCAAGAGAAAATAAATAGATTCAAAGACCAAAAATAAAACACTTGATGGAGTATTGACAAATAACCAGATGTGGACGCATTGGTGCTTATGTGGTACTCTAATGCTCCTAGATCAGTCCATTTCTTAGCCCAAATAATAGAATAATCATGTCTAGGTGTATCAGTAAGTGATTTTTCTTATTCATCTCGTTCCTTTTTTTTCCAAGTGGATGTTTAAAGAGAATAGTGACCTTTATCACTTACTGATTTCAGTTTCCCATTAGTTGAAGTCAAAATATTGTTATGGATTTCTACCATAGGTTTACTTTTCCAGGCTGTTGAGTTTGAAAATGGCTTACTCAGCAATAATATGGTCTAATTCATACAATAACCTGTCTAGTAAGAATTTCAGTTAAACTGTTCAGATCTTTTGTGCTGCACTTTACCTGCACTTTGTTCACATTTTCAGGGACCTGAGATTCGAACTGGCTTCCTGAAGGATGGGAAGCCTATTCAACTTAAGAAAGGGCAGGAAATTACGATCACCACGGACTACACAGTCAAGGGGGACACAGAAATGATCTCTATGAGTTATAAAAAGCTTGCTGTGGATTTGAAGCCTGGCAACACCATCCTCTGTTCGGATGGAACCATCACCCTTAATGTCTTGTCTTGTGACCCTGCTTCAGGAACCGTGAGATGCTGCTGTGGGAACACTGCTATGTTAGGTGAGAGAAAGAATGTCAATCTACCTGGTGTTGTAGTGGATCTCCCCACACTTACAGACAAGGATAAGGAAGACATATTGAAATGGGGTGTGCCAAACAAGATAGATATGATTGCTCTCTCATTTGTGCGCAAGGGCTCGGATCTTGTTAACGTTCGAAAAGTTCTTGGACCGCATGCCAAGCACATAAAGTTGATGTCTAAGGTCTTTCTCAATTCTTTAATGCATACCTGTTCTGTTTTGATTGGAAAAAAGGAAAATTTAGGTTACCCTTACATTTCATATACAAGAAGGAATAATCTAAAACAACCATCAAGAGTTAGATTGTAGTCCCTGTGAAAGTCTATGATAGACCTGAATGGAGTACTTAAGAATCCTCCATGCATACTTCTTTTTTCCTATTGCAATTTTTTTAATATACAAGTCCTGACCCTTCTTGGTCATCCAATTGACTTGTTTTAGTTGTGGAATTTTGAAGGTTGAGAATCAGGAGGGAGTGATCAACTTTGATGAGATCCTGCGCGAGACAGATTCCTTCATGGTTGCTCGTGGTGATCTTGGGATGGAAATTCCTGTGGAGAAGATTTTCCTTGCTCAGAAGATGATGATCTACAAGTGCAACCTAGTGGGCAAGCCTGTGGTGACTGCCACCCAGATGCTTGAATCCATGATCAAGTATCCTCGCCCTACCCGTGCTGAGGCCACTGATGTTGCCAATGCAGTCCTGGATGGCACTGATTGTGTAATGCTTAGTGGTGAGAGTGCAGCAGGAGCGTTCCCAGAGCTTGCTGTGAAGATCATGGCGAGGATCTGCATTGAGGCAGAGTCCTCTCTTGATTATGGTGCTATCTTCAAGCAAATGATCAGGTCAGCCCCTCTACCAATGAGCCCACTGGAGAGTCTTGCCTCCTCAGCAGTGCGAGCAGCAAACAAAGCCAGGACAACCCTTATTGTTGTATTGACGCGTGGTGGGACTACAGCAAGGTTAATAGCAAAGTACAGGCCTGCAGTTCCTATCCTCTCTGTGGTGGTTCCAGTTCTAACAACAGATTCATTTGACTGGATCTGCAGCGATGAGAGCCCGGCCAGGCACAGCCTTGTCTACAGGGGCCTGATTCCACATCTTGCTGAAGGATCAGCTAAGGCCACGGATGCGGAATCCACGGAGGTGATCCTGGAAGCTGCCCTCAAGTCGGCAACACAAAAGGGGCTTTGCAAGGTAGGTGATGCAATTGTAGCACTACATCGTATAGGGGGAGCCTCTGTCATAAAGATCTGCACTGTGAAGTGAAATGAAAACTAAAGACGCTCCATGCTTTCCTAGATTTGTCATTTGTGGGGAGATCTGTCCTGCTGCTTCTGATGTCATGTTTGTTATGTAGTTAGAAACTTAGAATCCATCCTGACCATACTGAGCTACAGGAAGTTGTTGGTTCTATGGCTTCCTTTGTTTCCCTTTTCTGAATTCTGATGATGTTTCTACTTTGCGTTGCTTTGAGAACCCAGGCTCTCAGTATTTTCAAAATTTGGAGTTGAAATGCAGTTTTTCCCAGATGGGTGCTGAATTGGTAGAAATTCGCATGCATATAATCATATTTAAGAATAATTGTGTATGAGTGCACTCACTTTCTGCAGAAAATGTCATAGGTCGGGTCCATATCGGGTCCGGTCCATCCCATCCAAGACCCAAATAACTGGGATCAAACATTGGAGGCCCTTTTTTCCTGTCGGCCTTGGTTTCTTGGAATAGGCCGATTCTAAATTTTCTAATACAAAATACAAGGTTTTACGCTTTACAATGTATTTGTACTCCTTCCAAATGGAGAAGAATGAGTATATAATAAAGAATGACAAAACCCTCTAACTCTAATATTAATTTATAAAATGATAAAATATTATTAAATTCAATAAATTATTTACAAAAAATATAAAATATTAATATAATATAATATAATGGAATTAATAATAAATATTAACATTAATTATTAAATAATAGTAAATTAATTTTAAAATATAAAATTAATAAATTAATAAGATATAATAAAATATTCATAAATTAATGAAAAATAGTAAGATATAAATTATTAAATAATAATAGTAATAATAAAGTATAAATAAATTAATAATTATATATTCATAAAGTAATAATAAAATTGAAAAATTTAGAGTTAGGCCACGTGGCTGATGAGATGGTTACATTTGCCCCAAACAATGGCAAAGGAGCAAAATTCGAGTTCATTGCGCGTAAACTCCACCATGGAGATTAGATCTAGATCTGATCCGATGAGAGTATTCGGATCAAATGTGTAATTTAATTGTTTCATGGATCTTCAATTAGGTTTGAGCAAAGCGATATTCCACGCATTCATAAGCGTGACCTTGCCTTGTTCTAACAAGGAGATTTGTCATGGAGAAATGAATAGGGCTGCTCATAATAGTAGAAAACGAGAACAACCAAACTATCATCTGTAATGAGGTTCTTTGATTAATGCTAGTTTTCTGAGTGTGTCTTTTGGAAAAAACAAGGAGATTTGTCTGTGATAGCTTATCTTTGGAACAAATTTGCTTCGATCACTATACTTCTCGGATGAACGTGAGAAAGAAAAGATCCACCAGTTTCTCATGGAACTGGGAGACTCATTCAATACAATCCATTTTAGCATTATTAGATCTGAATAATCGGATCCTATTTCAAGCCTCAACAAGATTTATTTGTTGTTTGCTCAAGAGGAGTTCCATCAACTTACGATTTCTCTGAGAGTTTTGTCCAGTCTTGATGCCACAATTCTCAATGTTGAAAGCACCTTGGCCATACCAAAGAGAAATGTTTCGAACTCATAGGCTATCCACCCACATACCTAGACTTGGTGGTCACAGATCACAGTCCAAATCTAACAGGACTAATCATGCGGAACCACCCGAATGCTCTATTGGAATTGATAAGGTTGCTTCATTTACAATGACCATGCCATCTTCTGCCACTCAGACTTCCCCTGTGGCTGATCTTCGCTAGCTGATCTCAAACGTGAATTAGCTGATATCTCTTCTTAGCAAAGAGTCATCAGATAATGCCACTGTGAATCTCTCTGCTAAGATGTCTTCTATTTCTTTTGTACAATGGATACTCAGTGGTGCTTCTTCTGACACATTGTATCTACTAAGTCTTTGTATCTTCATTGCATTTCTCTTCCTATTAATAAATTTGTACACTTACTCCATGATCAAATTATTAGTATTAGTTATAGTATCAGACAACTCAAATACAAATACACTTTGGAAACGCATGGACATGAACGAAAAATACAGAAATGCTTTGATATGCTAGGGAAATACATACAAATTCTATAAATACACCAATAATGCTAAATTTAAAGTCGAATAGCTACAAATAATGTATAAATACATAAGCAATGTATATTTTAATGGTGTATATGGAAAAATAATTAATATAGTGGTATGCATAGGTATTATACCATTTTATTGATAATGCATTATTAATCAAAAGTCCAAGACACTTAACTTATGCACATATTATATTTTAATTATTATATAAATTATTTTCTATTTTACTATTTATACTTTTTTACATTAACAAAAAAGTTACCAAAATAATAAATTCTCAAATGTAAATTACAATATCGACTAGTAATTACTAAAATAATTATTCCATAATTAATACTTTTCTTTCCATAGTTTTTCTAAAATTAAAAATCATTTTTTGATATAAATGTTGATTAGTAGATCTATAGATTATATTCTCAAATATTTCATAAACATTTTTTATTTTTGTAAATAGTTAATATGTATATGTATATATATATATATATATATATATATATATATATATATATATATATATATTTTAAGTACTAAAATAATTATTCTATTATTAATATTTTATTTGTATAAATTTCTTGAGATGAAAATCATCTTTTGATTTTAATGTGGATTTAATAGATTATTTGTTTTCATTAGTTTATAAAATAATAATTTTGAATATTATTCTTTTTAATTTTTAGTTGAAATTGTACACATAAATATGTATTATTTATTTGGATCACATATTGATATTATATTTAATAAAAGATGTTTTATTTCACTTATTAACATAAGAAGCAAGTTGGTTTAGTGGTTTAAAGGGCGATTTAAGTCTTAGGTGAATTGTGCACTAGGTGACTTGGGTTTGAATCGCCCCACTTTTTTTTGTAGAAAGGCGTGGATGCATGGTGTATCGATATGTATCAGTACAATGTGATATAGATTGATACACACTTGTATTGGCTTGATATGCATGACTAGTAGGATACACCTCTAGTCATAGTATATCTAGTATCGATTATAATCATATCGATATGATACACCCCATATCAGATGTAGTGCATCAGTATTTCAATTCTTGCATTTACCTAATGTCACTAATGTTAATGTTTCACATCATGGCAATGTGTATCTCACTTCTACTATTTCCTTTGATGGTGTCTTGTTTGTTTTCGATAGAGGTGTAAATCAAGTTGTGTCGCCTGTGACCCATGTTTTGGTTCCAAGTCCATGGGCCACCATGGAACGACACGACTATGCATGCCGGCATGGCCCAACATGTGACACAACCCACCCAGGATCCTAATGACTAGTTTCAACTTCTTTTTAGGGGGAGGGGGGGGGGGAGGAGAAAAATGACAACAATGCCTCTCCAACAACTATAAAACAACTATTTGTGGGGTATTTGGGTAAAGTGATAAATGATTTTATAATGACCAAAATACCCATCACAACAACTAAAAATAGTTAGTTTTTAGGGTATTTTAGGCAATTAAATTATTTTCAATTCCTATAAATAGCCTTATCCTCCACCATTCTCATCACACCAATTATCATACTCTCTTAGCCTTTCATACAGTCTCATACTTTCTCAAGCTAGCAATTTGGGAGGCTTGGAGGCTTTAACCGTTGAAATCAAGTTGAGATTTCAAACCGACAATCTATGTAAGTGTAATTAAATTAATTTTTATTTTTTAGAATTAAAAAAAAAGGTTGGCTCCTTTGGAATCCAATTCCTCAACATGTTCAATGTTGACGATGTCGATGTTCAATCATAACATGATAGTGTTAGCACTGATATGGATACTATTGATATTGCTGGAATTCCCACCCTTAGTACTATTACTAGGGGAAAGAAGAGAAGGACACTAAGTTGAGTAGCCCGATTTGAAAAATATTTAGAATAGAGGAGGTTGAGGGAAAGGAAAAAAGAGTTGTTTGCCAAAAATGTAAGAATTACTTTAACTATTGTAGCAAGGGTAGTACTGGCCACTTGCACAGACATTTTCTCTCGCATGCAAAAAAAGACAAGGGAAAGAAACATTACAAACACAAATTTGGGCATAGAGTTTTTGGTACTTTTAAATATTCTCAAGGAAAAATGAGGCAAGAGTTAGCAAAGTATATTATACATGCTGAACAACCATTTTTATTAGTTGAAGATATTAAACTTGAAAGATTTTTACATAATTATATAAATCCACAAATTAAAAATTTTTCTAAAATACTACTAGAACATATGCTTTAAATTTTTTTATTAATATAACTAATTTAATTTCTATTTTATCAAATCTTAATTCTAGTTGCAATTATTTCTGATGTTTGGACATCTAAATTTAACATACTTTATATTTGTGTTACCGATCATTTTATTGATGAAAATTGGCTTTTACAAAATAGAATTTTAAGTTTTACTAGGCTTGAATGGCCCAACTATTGTTGCAAATATTTTAAATACTTTACGTACTCAAGTTATTGAAAATAAATGTTTTTTCTATTAGTTTTGATAATGCTAGTAATAATGATTCAACAATAAATATATTAAAATCTCAATTAAAACCATATTTAAATGGTAAATTATTTCATATTAAATGTGCATGTCACGTCTTAAATTTGTATTTAGGATGATTTAAATATTATTTCTCATCATACTTCTAAAATTAGAAGTTGTATTATATATATTAAAAGTTTTGGAGCAAGAAAACAAGAATTTAAATATTTATGTCAAAATTATGGTTTAAAATATAAACATTTTGTATTAGATGTTCAACATAGATGAAATTTTATCTATTCTATGTTAGAAAGTTGTATTTCTTACAAACAAATTCTTACTAATTTTTATAATGAAAAAAATGCCACATGATATTATTCTTGAGGAAGACTAGGAAATGACAATTTGTATCAAATATTTTTCACAAAATTTTTATGATGCAACTAATGAATTTTTGGGTGTTGATTACCCAACTAATTGTATTTTAGTTAATCAATTATTTATAATTAGTGAATGTTTTGCAAAATATAGAAGAAATTCACATTTTAAAAGTATTATTGAAATAATGGAAAATAAATTAAAAAATATTGAGAGAACATTTTTCCGCTTTATTGCTTAGCTACAATATTAGATCTTAGGATTGGGAAAGATGGTTTAGATGGTTTATTTGAATCATATTGTTAAAATGTGAATATTGAATCTAAAAATAAAAAAGAAGAAATTAATAATTTATTATTTGAAATGTATAATTTATATGAATCTCAAATAAAAAAGAAGAAATTAATAATCCACTTCAATTGCACAATCTGCTAGAATTTCAAGAAAATTGCTTAACAGAAAAATTCATAAAATGTATGATAACATAGTTACAAATGGAATTATATGATATCCTAGTTAGTAAGTTAAAAATATAGCCAGAAACAGGGGTAGCCCTCCCCAAAACCTAAATGCCCATCACACCCCAAATCTCCTAACCAGAGAATCTCTTGCCAGACAACTAACCTGCAAAAGAAGAATGAAAACCATACATAGAAAAATAACAACTTCAAAAGTAATTTATTAATTAAAATGGCAGAAATATGATGTTGTTATTTAACTCCAACCTTGTGAAACATGCCAAAAAAGAATAGTTCACAAAACCTGTTACAAATCAAAGAGGAAAACAACAAACCAAATAATATAATAGAACACGAAATAAATAGAAAAACAAAACCCAATCCCCTAATCAAATGAACAACACAAAACCAAGCAAAACATTCAAGAAATGAAGCTTCATTTCCACTTTGCTACACTTCCTCAAAACATTCGAGAAATGAAGCTCCATTTCCACTCCGCTACACTTCCTCTCTCCTACCAACGAAGAAAACTAGGAAATAATAAAACAAACCCTACCAAAGGAGGAAGCTATGAAGGAACTGGGAAGCACATTTACCTGACCAATAGCTGGTCGTACTGGTTTGGAAGTGAAAAACCTAAGAACCCAAAGAAATCAAAACTTCATTTCAGGACAATAAACTAAAAAAATAAAAGAAAAATCGTCAAGAATATAGCCAAAACCTATTACTCCGTATCTATAACGAGCCACAAATATTAAGAATGTTTTGAAAAATCAAACTGTGTATGGTCTTCCTTTGAACACAATGTAATCCATTACTGCATATGGTTTTAGCTTGTTGACGATATGTCTTTGAGCTCAGTTTCTTGCCTGTTTTGATCCTTTGGTGCATTAAGGGGTCTCTTCCTTCTCCTTTCTTTACCATTGGAAAAAGGGAGAGTAGAGAATGAAAAACTGAATAAACCTGAAAAGAATAAATGCAAACTTGAAGAAGGCTTCATGAAGATGAAGAATAAACACTACAACCATAAACCAGTTATACAAAATCAATCTTGATCAAACCAACCGTGTTTTTAAAAATATGTAGCAAAAAAAGAATCTTTTTTTTTTTTGTAAAAAAAGAGTGGGTAGCGAGTAGATATAAGAAACATATTTAAAACATGCTGAGTTTTGTTTAAATTTATGCATGTGTATATTTACCTTGTAGGAAAGTTCTATGTTTATTAAGCATTCTCCTTAAAGAATCCAGAGCTTGCTTGTATTTCTTCTCTTGTGACCAATCAAAATCTCACTCTTATGGCCAAATTTTTTAACCTATACCATCATGGAAATATAGAAAATCAAATAAAAAAAGAAAAGCAGAAGAAACCCAAGAAAAATCCTAAAAAAGAACCTACAGAAAAAACCTCCATCAAGGAATCTCAAAGAAACCTATAATAGAAGGCACAAAACTTTGTTAATCCACAAACACCGCAAATCCACTAATTCATAAGAGCAAAAAATTATCGCACAAATCATTCCCATGAGAACAACCCCAATACCATCACACCTAATCTCCCGTTTGTTTTCAAGTTATATACTCCAATTGCCAAAAAAACAAATTTGTCAAAAGTTTATACAAATTGTAATCCAGGTTTCTAAGAAACACTTAAAAGAGAAAATAGTTGAACTATAAAGAAATCAGGTGTTAAATTACAATGAAAACAAAGGAGATTGTATCAAAATTTATAAGAACTAACGATAACCTTAATGGAAGAGAAAGGATCCATTGAAGCTTCTTCAGGCCATCGACCGTCCAATGTTGACACTCTGGACAAGGGCTTGGAATGTTCGATTTCATTCATATGGCTAGTTGAAGACCCCAAGCTGGAAGAGAGAGAAAAAGAAAGTATGCCAAAAAAGAAAAGAAAAAGTGGAGAAAAGAAGATATAGGGAGAAAAACTACCGGAGAACTGCAAACCTGTGGTTAATCAAAGAGAAGAAACCCTGTCTTCTCGGAGACCCATGAAGCCCTGTCTTTTTGTAGATGGATGCTTTCAGAAGGAACAATGAGATAACTAAAGCCACTTAAACTCCAAAATTCATGGAAAAAGAATACCTGACAGAAGCAGAAGAGGAAACTCCTCCCTCAAACAGAAAAAACCCAACCCTTAGCAAGAGAGAGAGAGAAAAAAAAAAAGCAAGACCAGAAGAAACTTCTGTTTTTCTAGAGAACTCACCATCGAAATTGAAACTTCAGAAAGAAACTACTCTTTATCTAGCTATCAAGGTTTGCTCATGTCGCTGCAAGGGGTACCAGCCACTCCATCATCAGCCTCCACTGGCCATACACTACCATGATTGATGGGTCAGATGCACCACTGACCATATGCTGGGGTTTCACCACATCGAGAGAGAGAGAGAGAGAGAGAAAAGAGAAAAGAGACTATGAGAAGAAAGCGAGGCAGTGGAAAAACAGGAAAATGGAAGCTTGCTCAAGCTTTCTCAGGTAATGAAGACTAGCTTGCTCAGCAAGCTTCTCCTCGCCTCCTCATGAGAGCACAAACCACAGGAAGAAGTGACAGATTCGCACAGGCATCACTTGCACATGGGAGCCATGTCAATAGGAGCAGACCAAGGAGAGAAAGGAATGAAAGAGGGGAGAAAGGAATGAAAGAGAGGACATGCATTGAAAGAACAGAGCAAGTGTATCAAAATCACAATGCACCACGTGCTGGACTCTCGCCAATAACCACACACCACCCAAATATATATATGGATTGCATAAACATAAGGTAATATATAGCACTCAACACAAGTAGCATTGAATGTCATTTTTTTATAAATCTGTCTATAAATTATATAATCTGTTATATACTAATCTATTATACAATCTATATATATATAATTTATATAATCTGTTATATAGTTTCCTTGTAGGGGGTCTAAAACTTCTAAAGAAAATGATGGATCTTAAGGCTGAATTGGATTGGCTTCTAGGATTGAAGTTGGGTTGTTTTATAGGCTTAACTAGGATGGTTTGTAAGGTTGAAATTGGGAGGCATCCTAAGATTTAAATTTAGGTTGGAATGGGGCTGGTTATGCTATGATTTACAATAATAAAGAGAGGTTAAATGAGGTGGACTTAAGGGTGATTCATGCTGTGATTAGTAAATCAAAATCAAATGAGGCGATGAGATGGGGTGCAATGTGGCTAGTCTACTGCTGGTGTTTGCAGCAGGAAACAAGGTTGTTGCCATGGGCACAACTACTTACAGTCCAAAAATGGGAGTGTGCTGGGCAGAGATTGGCCTAACCATGGGCTATTAATTGCTGCCCAAATAGAGGGGCAAGTTGGGCTGAGATGGATGTGAGAACTGCTGTAATTTACAACAGTAGATGGTGTGAAGTGGGGGCTGAAATTGAGGTTCTCTTCTCTAATTTACAGCAGCTAGAGGGGCAGTTTTTGGGCTTCCACCTGAGGCATTTTGCAACCAAAAATAGAAGGTGTGAGGGGTGTTCTAAGGACTGCAATATTGCTGTAATTTACAGCAGAAAATGTGGCCAAGAGGAGGTTACGGGACAGCAAAGATGAGCTGCCAACCACCTTAATTTACAGCAATAAGTTAGGTGGAACTTGGATTGGATATGGGATGATTGTAATTCCCAAAACTAAACCAGCAGCAAGCCAGCACTTACCACTAAGAAGCAAATCACAAGAAATACAATGACAAGAGAAAATAGTTTCTTGAAAACTTTTTTTTTGTTTTGTTTAGAAAAGAAAACTGAACCATATTCCCAAATCAAAATACAAGAAACACTCATTACTCAAGAAGCAACTAAGTGAGAGAAATTTAATTTTTGAAAGAATTAACAGAAGTTAATTTTCTCATTTCTTTTTCTTTCTTTGTAAGCGAAGGTTTTAGGCACCTGTCTCTCTATTCAACGAAGATGCTAATCCCAGCACCAAGGCACACAACAAGGCAATGTGCTGATTGAAATCGTTCATACTTTTCTAGGCAATAGGATGATGCTATTCAAATTATCATCATGGCATTAGTTGACCAATAGCATAGAGATTGGAGGAGCAATGGCTGGACTTCTGAACATTTACCCCATCCTAAGAAAACAAATGAGAACCACCCTAAGACAATAATTCAAATCTGAAGCTAGTGTTTACTTTACGTAAGACAATCACTTGGTAATCACAACTAGCACTTTCTAAAAATTAGAAAGTAATCATTTAGAAAATAAGGCAAACACTTGATTCAAAATTAGGGGTAACATTTCAAAAATATAAAAAGGAAAGAAAATTCTAATTGACTACTTGGCAATTCAAGAGTTGAAACAGGTGTATTTCAGACATCCATATTAGTAACCAGAAACTATTTTGAGATAGTATACACTAATGAGAGGGAACATCTATAGAGATCAAATCTATCTCCAGAATTGACAAAGTTGATATACAGATTTTGGAGATTGATTTAATGAGTTGTAAATTTGTAATTCCCTTCCAAATTAACTAGTAAAAAGGGGCAAATTTTGAAAACACATAAGAAGAAATTCAAAAAAACAATATTAAACGTATAATGAGAGAGGGAGACACACCTTTTCTGGAGGAAGATAGATGGGAGTATCTCCTTGACTGATCTGCAATGGAAAAAAGCAAGAAGTCAACTACCGGTGAAGGTGGAGTTGCTGCCACCTCTTTTTCGAGCCTAGTCACTGATGAGAACCACTGGTCACCACTAATGTGCACGAGAGAATGGTGGTGAAAAGAAAAAAAAAATGTTTAGGGTTTAAGAAGGCAGGTTTTAAGACGTGAGGCCAATTTTGGGTTTTTAAAATTTATAAAAGGGCACGGTTGGAAGCAAAAATTCATCCGTTACCTCCGAATGCACTTGGAGGTAGATTGACCATTATTCTGAGGTTTTTCGGTGTTCAGAGGTGCAACCGAATGATCACTGACTGCTGAAAAAGCAACATTTTCAGCATTCAGAAGTTAATTCAGTGCTACCAAACACCCCCTTAGTGGGCTAGAATTTCATATACCATCTTTTGTTGATACAGGAATTTTTTGTGGGTAAATATCGATACGGGAAATTAAAATCATTCTTTTTTTTGACAAGTTACCTTTAAATTATACACTTACTTGGTTGCCTTTTCAATCCCCTTTAATCTACTGGTCCATATAATCCATTAAGCGAGACTTATTTGAATATATTGACATTGGCCGTGAGCCCATAATTTAGGTTGTGTTTGGATAAGCTTCAGGATTTGTGCTTTCAAAGCCCAAAAGTACAGAATCCCAATTGTAGGCTTTATACCTCAGGGTTTAAAAGTGTTTTGGGTTACGCAACTCCTACCAAACACTCAAACACTGCTTGATTCTTTCGTTTTCCATAGCCCAAACAAAGTCTTTTATCATTTATTGCTTTCCTTTGCTTTTGTCAACCATAGAGACTCAATATGATCTAAAACTTTGTTTTACAATAATAAGTTAATAGCGTTCTCTTGATAAGATGGTACAAAATTATATGATAACAACTTAAGTAGCAAAACAACATTCAAATTCAATCATTTTATGTAGTTTAACCATGATGAAGGATCACACATATACAATGATCATTCTAGAAATATAACAAAAAGAAGAGGACTGCCTATATGTTTCCATGGAAGCAACATGTAATTTAAAATCTTTCATTCTAATGACAACTGCATATATTTAAATTTGTAGGCCTGAAAAACCTAAAAGATCTCTCTGCCCTGGCCCTTGTATGTTTCCATTATAGTATCATTTTTTATTAGGGAAAGCTCATGAAAAGCTACAAGCATTAGAGCAAAGACCACATTCGAATTCCATGGCAACATAGATAAATGGAAGCAAAGCCAAGAGGTTAGCAGGATATGTGCAGAATTATATTATAGTCTCTAGTCATTTTAATAAATAAAGAGTGGTGAAAAATCCATTTTACAAGAAACTTTTTATGGTACAAATTTACATAAAGTTGCTGTAAAGAATTCATACATGAGCTCTTGAACATGTAAACAAGAAAGAGATACAGAAGCTTATTATGTCAGGTTAGTCAAATGATATATAAGGTGTTTCCTACCAATTATATCAGGGATGATCTCATATGGATATATCTTTGAGCCTCTTCAATGCGTCCCAGATGTGTAAGCAGTCCAATTAGGCAGGAAAAATTTCCTTCTGATGGCTTAATGTTGTATCTTCGAACCATGGAATTAAATATTTGGCAAGCCTCATCCACAAATCCAGCTTTAGCACAAATAGATAGAAGCACATCAAAAGTGTAACGGTTCGGAGAGAAACCATTTGACTGCATTTTATTAAAGAGATTGAGTGCATCTCGATACTGATTGTTATATCCATATGCTTCTATAATTGCAGTCCACGTCATTGATCCCTTCGTAAAGATTGCATTAAAAACCAACCTAGCATGGTTAATTCTTCCACATCTCCCATACATCTTTATAAGTTCTGCACAAATGAAAGGAATGGATTCAAAATCCCTCTTCAAGACATATCCATGTAACTCCTTCCCAACCTTTAAGGCCCCCAATTCACCACAAATGCTTAAAATCCTTGCTACAGCTACAGAATCTGGTCTGTACCTGGAAAGTTGCATCAACCGAAATACTCCCACTGCTTCTTCTAAGCACTGGTTGTTCAAGTATGAATCTATCATAGCTGTCCATGAGATTACATTCCTTCTCTCCATTCTATGGAACAACTTGCAAGAATAATCTAAGTTACCACATTTAGAGTACATGACCATTAAGGAGGTAACTATGGACACATTGGGTAGAAATCCATTCTTCACCACATATCCATGAATCTCCTTTCCTTGTTTAAGAGCCTTCATCTCTCCACAAACTGGAAGAACAGTTGCAATCGTTACAACATCAGGCTTAACCCCTTCTTGCTGCATCCAGACAATTGATCTCAGAGCCTGCTCAAGACTACCATTTGAAATGTAACCTGACATGAGGGCAGTCCAAGAAACAGCATTTCGCTCCGTTGAGGCATAGAATACCCTCCTTCCTGAACTCATGTCCCCGCATTTGCAGTACATGTCAATCAATGCAGACTGAACGAACAACTGTCTTGCGTAATTCTTCGTCTTGATCACATATGCATGGATCTCTTGACCCAGTTTTCGGGTCCACAGTTCTCCAAAAACAGGAAGGATCATTGTCAGAATAGCTGAGTTTGGATTTATGCCTTGTCTTCTCATCTGCCTCAAATACTGTAATGCCTCTCTGTAAAGCCTATTGTGTGAAAAACCAGCGATCATAGCACCCCAGACAACAACATCTCTTTCAAGAACTTCTTCAAATACTCGCCGGGCCAATTTAATCTTGCCACATTTGAAGTACATATCAATCAAACTAGTTTGGAGGACAACAGATCCATCTGCAAAGCCATTCTTGATCAAAAGGGCATGGGTCTTCATACCTTGGATGAATGCAGATGAGCCTGCAAAGATTTTGATCAGGCAGGAAAAGGAATACTCATTTAATTCAATCCCCAAATCTCGCATTCTCGAATACGTTTCCAGCACTTCTCGATACTGTCGCCCACCTCGAATAACACCACCTCGAAGCAAAGCATTCCACGGGTAGACACTTCCACAAGGAATATCATCAAACACTTTCTTCGCCTCTTCGATCGAGCCACAAGAAGCATACATGTGGACGAGCTTGGTACATAGGAATTCATTGTTTTCCAGCCCATTTATCCGAATAAAAGCATGTATTTGCCTGCCTTCAGTGAGGGACTTTGATCGAACACATGCAGCAAGAAGTGAAGAAAATGTGGTTGGGTTCACTGGAATTCCTTGTTTGTCCAAGTAGTCCAAGATGGTAAGGGCCTCCTTCAGCTTCCCTTCCCTGGCAAATCTCTGGATGTCTTTGTATATGGCAAGTGGATTCTTGGTATGGAGTGGTAAAGATGATGGAAATGCATCTTTCTCTGTGAATTTCTGTGTTCTGGGAGGAATCTTGAAGGAGTTTTTGTGTCGATTAGGTTGTGTTTGAGGTAGAATTGGTAGATCTCTTGTTGTTCTTGAAGTTGATGCCTTATTTCGTAGAATTCGAGATGGTTCTAAGTGGATTGTGGTGGGAATACGAATTGAATTAACAAGGAGATATGAAGCCGACAGACCTTCCATGATTTGCACCTTTGGTTGTTATGTTTGCTTACTTTCAGTTCAACAGAGCTCCAAATGCAACTATTTATTGGATTGGAATCCCAGTTCTGTTTTCTGTGTGTGCGAGAATCAGATAATGCTCAAAAGAACTAGAAACCAACCTCAAAACTCAAACCACAGAATGGCAATTTAGGATCCCCAATGGCTGCTCACACTCTGCAAAGTCAAAAACATAGCTCTAAGATATTAGTGTCACTCCTCTGTATAAGAACAATATTGGTAGGTATTAGAGTTGCTCCCTTGTTAGAAAAAACTATTAGAGGTAATTTTTGCTTCATCTGGACAAGCTAAGTCCATATAATTTTCAGAATCTGAAGCACATAATTTAAAATCTCTGTAACCTCTTTGTACCATATACCTTTCTGGAACAAGCAAAAAAGAAAAGAATAAAGTAGAGTAATGATTAATTACCATATGAGTAACAATTTATTTAACGTAATTTCAGCATATGAAAAGCAAAAGGAGAGGAGAGAATAGATAAATCCATATAGTTGGGTTCGAGTCTACTTCTTTAATATGCTTTAACCACTTCTATTGATGAATTACACAGGTGTTTGGCTATATTGAAGATGCAGGCTGTTTATGAGGGCCGCCAAAGGTACAAAGAAGGTGATGAGCATGGATACAACCATAACCCATGGAACTGATGGGTACATCCAAATCCAATCTGATGAGACTATGGGTCTGTTTGGTTTGTGGCCGGAATGGGATCAGAACCGGAATCAGAATGGGCTGTTCCCCTGCTTATTTGATTCAGACAGGAATCAGAATCAGACTCCAATTGATGTTGTTTAGTTCATCTGTAAGCTGGAGTCAGAATTAACCAAGATTTCCAATTTTATCCCTGATAAAAAATTCAAATTTTGACTTATAATTGCTATTTTTGAAATGGATAAATAGTTTGACATTCAGTTCACATAGAAGAGATAAAGGAAACATGAATAAAGAAAGAAAAAAGGCATAAAAACTACAGACTGGATAGCCTTGTATCCAAGCATCAACAAAAGTTTAACTACAAAGACCAAATATAATAAAAACTATAGGTATCTTTGGGTGGGGGAATTTGGGAAGCAAGGGAGGAATCAGATTTAAGGCTCCTGGAATCATCCTCACTTCTATTTGGTGAAGATCCAATCCCCTTATAACTCAAGTTTACAAATGACAGAAAGAAAGAACATTTACAAATTTGTTCCAAGAGAAGTTTGAAAAGTGAACCATGTCTCCTTCTCTCAATCTCTCTGATCACATGCTTGGTCTAACTTCAACAATAGTAACAACTCTCTTTGAAGACATCTCCAGCACAGAAATAGTATGGACTGATTGCTTCCTATCACCATCTTCAGCAACCCTGTAAATGCTACTTCTGGTTCCTCATTTCTCCAAACTCTGGAAATGAATTTCAAACATTCTATTCTGTAGGCTTCAAAACAACAAAAGCCTATTCTATAGGCTTCAAAACATTCCATCTTCAGCAATCCTGTAAATGCTACTTATGTTTTCTTTTCATTGGTAATAAGATCAAGAGAGTTTTATTGAAAGAAAATCTGGATACAACCCAACCCATAAGACAGGGGGATGGGATCATGGTCTAATGAAGCAGGACAACAAAAGTAAATTCCACAAAATTAAATTCAAATTGAATCTTAATGGCCCTATTGGGCAGTTAATTAGGATGGCTTGTTTGCTTATCAGTGCAAAATTGGACCTACCCATGGAGAAACAAAGAATGATTCTAAGTTCAACAAATATTTCCCATGGTTAGCCATTTTCCCTTCTTTGGGTAAAATCAGATGCCTCACAGGCTCATACATAAAAGTGAGAAATTAAGGGTAGGGCAGTCTACATACGATGTGGCTCCCATTTTTGCTGCCACAATGTATAGCCATAGAATTACGCATCTGTCATTTAGGCTAGAGCAGATTGTCAGAAACAACTTCTATATTCTCATCAGAACAATAGTTGTAGTTGAATGGGTCCAAAAATAAGAGATTAACCATTTGTTAAGTTAAAGAAGAGAAGAACATGAGCTAATACTATCAAACTCATGGAGATACAAGAATATTCTTCACGTAGATGAACGAATAACTAAGGCATTTCACCAAACACTATTGTTGCAGAACGGCAACTACAGAAAAGCTTCCTAACATCTTTACCGTATAATGCTCGATAATTGTCTTGACTACCCCAACATAAAGAACGAGTAAAGAATACAATAACACAAACATAATCGATCATACCTTGATTGATGCTGCCCTTAATGGTTGCAGGGACGGGATTATATATGTCTGCACTCGACAGTGGTGGTCTAGAGAATATGGGAGAGGAAGGGGAAAAACAAAAAAGAGTGAGAGATAAGACGAAGGTGGATAAAGAGAGAGAGTGAGAGAGAGAAACCACCGCTGCCCTGTTCGGTGGTTTTAGCGGCGGCAACAGCTGCAGAGAAAAGGAATATAAGGGAGGAAAGGAGGGAGAGAGATATTGTCGATGAGCAGTGATGACTTACCTCGACGGAGTGTGTGGTACTTCGGCCGTTGGAGGAGGGGATGCCGGAGTGTGTGGTTCTACGGCCGTTGGAGTCGGGTAAAGAGAAAGATTTGGGTTTTTTTTGTCATTTGCTTTTTTGTCGGAGAGAGCGTGAATGGCCATTCTCTCAACTGAAAGATTTTTCAATGATATCGGAAAATCCGAGGATTTGGATTTTGTAATATACATCGATTAATAATCGGATCGGGTTTGGATTTGAATAAATTCAATCCGATTAAAATTCAAATAAGATTATATTATATTTATTAATTTTAATATATATATATATATATTAATAAATAATTTAAAATTATAAAATATATATTATATTAGAATTGGTATTTGTTCCTCACATAGGACGCCTCACGCCGACCTCACATGCATATCTAATCATGAGAATATCTCCCATGAATAATAACATAGAAGTACGGGAAATGTTCCCAATATATGGTGGAATGTATTTATGAGTTTGATGTGAGGCGTCCGATCCAGTCTCATTATATATATATATATATATATATTTGGGCTATTATATATATTAGGGGCCCATACTATACTAGGGCTTTGTTAAAGAGAAATTCAAATAAAAAAAAGTCCTATACTGACTTTCATTAATCATGTTGAATTGGTTCATGTCCAACTCAATATTTTAATGGGTTATCCAATTGGTTTAACTACAATCCAAATTGCACCTTTGTGAGAGTGGCCAAATTTTATATTAATTTTTACTATTTTTAAATAAAACATAAATAGACATTAAATTAGTAAAAAATTATTCTATATTTCTATATACCTTAAAAGCAATTGTCCATGTCTTCATCTCCTTCTACCCTCTCCATCATACTTTGCATTCTTTTTTTATTTTATAGGATAAATTACATATAGGTAACCTGTACTTTAGGGGTAGTGATAGATAGATACCTTGAACTTTCAATTGCAACATTTGAGTACCTTGAACTCTCAAAAAATAGACACTTGGGTTCATCCATTAATATTTTGTCAACTAAATGTTACATAATGCCAAAAATACCCTTCTCATGTATTTTTGAGATCATTCTCGAGTAACCAAACATCTCCCATGATGATATTCTCACATGGGCAGCAAATAACATATTCAAATTTTCCGACAACGACATTCTTTGATGATGCTTTTACTCCGTAAAATGATCTAAAAAATACACGAGAATGGTATTTTTGACATTATGTAATGTTTAATTGGCGGAATAGTAACAGATGGATCCAAATGTCTATTTTTGAAAGTTTAGGGCACCTATCTATCACTGCCTCCATAGAGGGTACCTATCTGTAATTTACCCTATTTTATAAAATATCAACGCAACATGGCCTATCCCAATTAAGAATGTCATAAGACCACTTTTGCCTTGATTTATTAACTTAATTAACCTTAACATGGTTCAATTTAATTAACCTTATTATTAGATAATTATCTAATTAACTTAAGTTAAATAGGTTAACTTAACTAATTAACCTAATTATGTTATGTAATTAATTAGTAATTAAGGCTAATTATTAATTTTAAAAAAGTAAGATTAATTAATTCTGCTAGGGTTATTTACATCAACTTAAGTTAATTGAATAATTAATAAATTAAGTTACTCAATCTATGTTAAGGTTAATTAAGTTTATTAAGTTATTTAATTAAGTGTATCAATTGTAGTTATTTAAGTTAATCCATATTAATTTGAGATAAGTTAATCTTTCTTAAGGTTAATTAATAAATTAACTGATATAACTTAATTAGCTTAATTAGTTAACCTCATGATCTTCACTTGTTTATCTAACTATTAGCTAATATATTAATCAGGTTAATTAAATCAATATAGGTTAAAGGCAACCCAAAAATGACACACTGTTTTCTTGCTTCTTAATTTATTGCCATTTAAGGCTGTTCTTTTATTTTGGGACTTAGGAGTGGAAACAAGAAAGTCTCCTAAATTTGGAGGGGGGAGGGAGAAAAAGTTAACTCCCTTCCTTGCACTCACAATGTGACTATTAAGTGTCCTCACAACAAATGATATGCCAAGGCAAGAGAGAAACAACCCAAGCAAGTTTTGTCTAAAACATTTTTTTTTTAAGCCTAATAAAATGATAAGGCAAATCATTCATTATTTGATCAATAAACAGTCTTTAAAAATACAATCATTAAGGCCCATTCGCTTTTCAATAGGTTATTTATCTGGGTAAATGCACTTACTTGGATAAATATTTTCTAGGAAGCACTTATCCGGGTAAGTGCATTTACCCATGTTCTTTTATTTTTCGGGTAAATAAGACAATGACTGTTTTATCCATAAAAAAAAAGCATTATTAATCTTTTATGGACCCCACATAAGTTTCCCGCTAGGTGGAAAAGTTACTCCCAAGTGATTCCTGGGAAAATAAATCTTCTATGGACCCCACATAAGTCTGAAAAAAAACATGAATTTCTTGATCAATGAGAACCAAAATCCCATTAACGAACTTCCCCCCTCTCAAAATCCAAAAAGCAAACAGACCCTAAGAAGCCTAGGTCTGAACTCCAGAGATAGATAAACCATGCCTGATTATACAATGTGTTGCAATCAACTAAAAGTTGTCTTAGTCGCTTAAGAAGGGAGGAATTCCTCTCCAATAGAGCCTATATAACCACCATTGCATCATCCCCTTTAAAAAGCAATGAGGACCATTTGCAACTCTACCACAAGCTTCGGCACTTTCAATTTTCAGAATCTGACAAATGTAAAGGTGTAAACTTCTCTTCCATAAGTGTACATCTACTCTTTTATTTTCCATGGATGCTTTGCACCTTGCCTTCAATGGATCATCCATTGTTGCCTATTCTAAGAACCAGGACATTATAAACCAATAATAACCCACCATCTTGATACCCAAGGAGCAGCCAAACCAAATTGCTTGAGTCACCGGGCAATGCATATGATCTAAAAGAAAAAAATCTTTACAAGTTAAAAGTTATACATTATTTGCAGTGCGAATTTATTTGCATTGATGCAAAACTACGATGGCAGTGCAAATGATTTTGGAGCAAATTGTGATTTATTTTTATTTTATTTTGTTTGATTGCAGTACAAATGAAATAAACTAAGGCCTGAACCAAAATAAAGTAGCACCCAAAACAAACACAGGCTATTATGAAAATATTAAAAACACGCCATATTTTTCTTAGAACAAAAAATCAACTTCATCCATGACGTTTACACCGATCATCATCAAGACTTCTACTATCATACTTCCCCCCTTGACTTGTACAGTTGTACTCATAGTTATAGAGTAGAGGTAGGTGGTTGTCATACTTAAGAAACTCCATCATTGTAGAAATCAATCTCGAATTCTTGAGCATTGATCTTGGTGGATACTTAGACCATATTTAGTTCATTGTTTTAGGCTTCATTCTTTTAATTCTTGTTAAGAATGGGCAAGAATGAATAACATTAGAGTGATTGGTTAGAAAATTCTTGCCCTAGGCCATATTCTTTTTAGAATGAAAAGTCGGCCCCATAGCAAAAAAATTGAGTAGCCTGCAGCATAAAAAATAATTATGCCCCATCTTGCTCATTTTCATTCTTTGAGGAAACTCTCCCTACAAAACTGCTCCCATAGATGTTTACTAGTAGGGGTGTCAATGGACCGGTTTTGGATTGGATCCAATCTGTTATAATTATTGGATTGGGCCAATCCAAAATAAATTGGTCTGAATCGGATTTAAACCAAATTCCCAATAAGTCGATCATGAGGCCAAACCCTTGTCCAATTTGAAACCATTCAAAACTGAAGCCGACATAAAAACACTTTTATGGAAGAACTTTTACGAAAGCATTTTTACAAAAGTAATTTTGTAAAAATAATTTTATGAAAAGTACTTTTATGAAAGTAAAGTACTTTTTACGAAAGCACTTTTATAAAAGTAATTTTATGAAAATTACTTTTATGAAAGCACTTTTACGAAAGCACTTTTACATGAAAAGACTTTTATGAAAACACTTTTACGAAAGCACTTTTATAATAAAAGCACTTTTATGAAAGTGCTTTTGTGAAATGACTTTTATAAAAGCACTTTTATGAAAGTAATTTTACATGTACAAAAGAACTTTTACGGCATTTTATTACGAAAGTATATTTTTAGAAAATCACTTTTACAAAAGTACTTTTATTCATTCACCTTGGATTGGATTGGACCCAATCTGATCCGTTTGCATTTTAATTGGACTAGATTGGAGTGTTGTAGGCATTGTAGTTTTTTTTATATATTCTTTGGATTTCTCATGTTATTTTGATTCAATTTGGATTGGATTGGATCCAATCTGATCCATTTGCATTTTATTTAGACTACATTGGATTTGATTTGTATGAATTTGGATTGGATTGGGTCCAGTCCATTTGTAAATGGACCAATATTGGATTGGATTGGACCAAATCCAGTCCAATTGACAATTCTATTTACTAGTAGACTACCATGGAAACTCACATCGATAGGCATTGATTGTCGGTCGTCCACTGGTAAACATCTATGCCAATAGTTTTGGAGACCTAGGTTGGCGGTTTATGAATACCGACACAATTTTCTTTTAAAGAATGAAAATGAACAACATAAGACACTCGTCAATTTGAAAAGAATTCATTTTTAGGAAAAAAGTGTTTGGTTCATAGCAATATTTTATCATTCTACCTATTTTTACCCATTATTGTTCATTTAAGATTGTCATATTTGGTAAGAATGAGAAATAATGAGAATTGAACCAAACATGGCCTTCACTGCTAGTGGCCTCACTCTTTTAATTCTTGCCAATTCTGAGAAAGAATGGACAAGAATGAATGAGATGTAGGTGTTTGAATATTCATTTCTTGCCACAGGACTCATTCTTCCCAGAATGAAATTTGGGTCTCGGCAAAAATTTAACACTTACCAATTCTTTTTTTTTTTTTCGTTTGAGTTTGAAACTTGAGTCCTCTCGGCTGAAGTCACTAAATCCTCGTCCCTCTCCCTCTGTGTGTGTGTACAAGGTAGTTGAGATCGATCTCGATCTGTTGAAGTCCTAAAGCTAAGATCAACTCTCTCTCTCTCTCTCTCTCTCTCTCTATATATATATATATATATACAAGGTGAAGCTGAGATCGATCTCAATCTATTGAAGTCCTAAAGCAAAGATCGACTCTGTCTCTCTCTGTACAAGGTAAAGCTGAGATAGATCTCGATCTGTTGAAGTCCTAAAGCTAAGATCAATCCAAAGAGCTCAAAACCAAGGTAAACTCTCTCTCTCTCTCTCTCTCTCTTTGTCTTCATCTTTTTCTTTCTTGTCTTCTTCTTCTTCATCTCCTTCTCAAGCTGCACACAGAAGATGGATACCTCCTCCTCCTCCTTCGTCTTCTTCTTCTTCTTCTTCTTACTCCGTTTTTCCCCTTTTAGGTTGACCACCAATATCAGCCCTATAACCATTAAAAGAAAGCAGCATCGACTAAAGTATTTGATCAATTTTTGTCTCTTCATTATTTTCCTTATTGGTATTTGTGTTCGAATCATTATGGAATTTATACATTTAAGTATAAATTGTTGTTGTTATTTTGATGCAATTAAAGTAATTAGTTGAAAATGAGAAAATTATAGTGCCAATTTTACATATGTTGTTTTCACGATGCTAAGACGTTTCATCCAAAGGATTGACCAGATTCGTTTCACAAACTTTATTTACCACATAACAGTTGATCTGGTTTACACCAACCTCATAAAGTTTGCTTTTCTGTTATTTTTCTGCCACTGTTTATCTTGATCTTATACTCAGCCCTCAGCATTAGAAATAGATAAAGTTACAAATTTGATGGGGTCCTACATTACTTGGTCTGATAAAATTAAATAGTGAAATCCATGTTAAGGATGTTCTAGACTGGTTATTAATGGAAGCATGTTCTACTGTTTGTTTCTTATATGTTGATCACAAGTGTGTAAGCTATTAGGCAATCAGTTTTATGTATTTTTTTTTTCATTTAATTCCACTTTTTTTTTGCTTTCATATGCATCCTTTAGCTCCCACTAATAGAGGCTCCAAGTGATTTTCAATGAATGGAATATTTTAAATGTTTTGTGATACATAGAATCTGAATCTGTTTTTGGAAGAAATTTTTCCTCTTATAAAATAAATGTCTATTTTCCCTTTGCCCTCACAGTTTTTGAGAGATGAGGAATCAATTAGTTTATTATACAAATTTTCTCCATCTCTTTGAGTATGAAGACTACATGTCCCATGTTCTTTCCTATCAACTAAAGCTCAAAGTAGGAATCTATAATCTCTCTGTACATTTGTAATATATTATACAAAATATGGAAAAAATAATCAATAAACCCTTGTTATCCTATAAGATGATTCTTACATAGCCACCTAATAAATGCTCTGACCTTACTCTATGGAGAATGAGGATTGATTAAATAGACATCCTAGACAGATAGAGATGAAGAGCTGATCCATGTCCCCTCTGATGACAAATTCTAGGTCTGGGCTCCACTTGAACCCTGGGGTATCATCTGTTGGAAATATTCCCTTATTCCTGAAAACCTTGAATCTTCACCAAATATGCTTGGATCTGAAATCTCATCTTGGATGGCCATCGAGCCTTCTAGCATTCTCACCACTTGGGACATGCTAGGCCTAAGTGTGGGAGATGCAGTAATGCACAAGAGAGCTGCTTTAATCATCCTTTCCACCTATTGCCCATTGAAATCACTTCCAACCTTGGATCCGCCAACTCTAGTAAGCTTTCTCTCTGCTGCAAAATAAAGGCCTTAAATTACGTTGAATGCTCCAAAGTAATTACTTTGAATGCAGCTTTAGGCTTTATTAGCTGAACTAAGGTTTTCACCCCTGGACCCTTAGTCAATGTGGATCAAAGTATGTTTCAGCTTAAATCCAAGACTCAAAAGGTGATTTGTTTTTTGTTGTTGTAATTTGCCTCTAAATAGACTGTGGGTTGGAGCATCCTCTATAGAAGAACAACTAGGAATATTTGTTATAATCTTGGCACAAACTTTATCAAATAGGATGGTAGCTGAGATCTTCCAATACTCTGAAGAAACTATTCATTGCCACTTTAAAAGGATGTTGAAGGCAATTTTGAAATTAGGTCGTGAGGTTATTGCTCCAATCCAATATGAAGGTGTTGCACCAGAAATAGCACGGGATTCAAGATATTTTCCATATTTTAAGGTATACATTTTTTAATATTTATTCATTGTTAATTTTGTTATATTTGTGAAAATAAGACTGCATTGGTGCTATTGATGGAACACAGATTAGTGCTTGTGTTCTAGTTGACCAACAAGTACCATCTCATAGTAGAAAGATTATGACAACACAGAATGTGTTATGTACTTGCTCTTTTGACATGCGTTTCACATTTGTGTATGCTAGATGGGAAGGGTCAACAAACGACTCTAGAATTTTTACAGAAGCATTAACAATGCCTAAAGTTGAGTTCCCTATGCCTCCAAGTGGTATGAAAATAATTTTATGTTCAATTTTAATTATATAGAATATAAAATTTAAGAAAAAATTTGTATAATTTTATATATCTGTATTTATTGTGTTTTAGGTAAATATTATGTAGTGGATTCGGGTTTCACTACTATTACAGGATTTCTCACCCCATTTAAAGGTGACCATTATCATTTGCAAGAATATAGGACAGTGAGACGACGACTGAAGGATGCTCGTGAATTGTTTAACCTTCATCATTCATCACTTTGTAATGTAATAGAACGATGCTTTGGAGTGTTGAAGGAACATTTTCAAATTCTGAACCACATGAAACCTTATAGTATTGGCACACAAAGGCGCATAATCATTGCATGTTGTACACTTCATAATTTCATTAGGCTGGAGATATTACTTGATCAAGAAGATCCATTGTTCAGAATATATGAAAATGAAGAAGTTGTCAAAGATAGCAACACAGTTGCATCATCAAATACACAAACACTAAATTAAGTGCTTGTAATTGAGACGAAACAATGAAAATGTTACAGATTGATATTAGTAATCAGTTGGCTGATAAACATGGGTATGAATGACTTCCAACACGTTGATAAATAAATATAATGAAACAGATAGACATTTTATACTTCTTTATATTACTCATTTTGATGTTATACATTGCTTCTTTTCATTATATATATATATATATTAATGCAACAAACTACAAAAGCTTCTCAAGTTTTTTTGTCCTTTTTCATATTGTGTTATTGATGTGGAGCCCACATGATTCCATGATATATATTTGCCATCGAGTGTTGTATGTAGGGGTGTCAATTAGACTAAATTTGGTCCAATCTGATTTAGTCCAATGTTAGTACATTATAAATGGACCAAGTCCAATCCAATCCAATAAATATTTTGGACCATTTTGGACCGGCCCAATTCAATGTTTAGACTGTCCAATCTGTTCAAATTTGTTTTGATTTAGATTGGTTTCAACCCAAACTCGGTCAATTGGCACCTACATTCTTACCTTATATCAATGGACTAGATATTGGTTTAATCCAACCCAATCCAATATATTTTTTTATTACGAACAGACTGGATGGTCCAATCCAATCTAATAAATATTTTGGATCGAATTAGTCCAATCCAATATGTCTTGTTGGTCCATCCAATCCGTCTAAATTGATTTTGGATTGCATGGGTTCCAATCCAAAACCGGTCCATTCACACCCTTATATTATTATTTTGATTAATGAAAAAATGAATGAGAATGAAATTTGTAACCAAACAGGTTACAAATTTTACTCTCGTTCTTGTCGTAAAAAAATCATTTTTTAGGAAAAAAGCGTTTGGTTTGTAGCAATATTTTGTCATTCTTCCCATTTTTATCCATTCTTTTCCATTTTAGAATTTCATCTTGGGTAAGAATGAGAAAGAATGAGAAATGAACCAAACATGGACAAGAATGGGTAAAAATAGTTTGAATGAGAAAATATTGCTATGAACCAAACACTTTTTTCCTAATAATGAATTCTTTTCAAACTAATAAGTGTCCTATGTTGCTCGTTTTCATTTTTAAAAAAATAAAAAAATAAAAACAGTGTCAGTATTCATAAACCGCCAGCCTAGGTCTCCAAAACTGTTGGCATAGATGTTTTTTAAAAGTGCTTTTATAAAAGTACTTTTCGTAAAACTGCTTTCATAAAAGTACTTTTATAAAAGTGATTTAGTAAAAGAGCTTTCATGAAAGTACTTTTTTCATAAAAATGTTTTTATTAAAGTGCTTTCATAAAAGTATTTTTATAAAAGTTCTTTCATAAAAGTGATTTAATGTAAAAGTGCTTTTGTAAAAGTACTTTACTTTTGCAAAAGTACTTTTCATAAATTTACTTTTATAAAAGTGATTTTGTAAAAGTTCTTTCATGTGACACATAGCAAGAATTTTGTAAGCAAGATGGGCATGATTATTTTTCATGCTGCATGCTACTCAATTTTTGTGTTATGGGGCTGACTTTTCATTCTAAAAAGAATGTGACACATAGCAAGAATTTTGTAACCAAACACTCTAATGTTATTCATTCTTGCCCATTCTTGCCTAAAATGAACAAGAATTAAAAAAATGAGGCACAGAGCAGTGAACCAAACATGGCCTTAAAATAACGGATCACAACAACCAAGTCATTTTGGATTTTTTTTTTTTTGTTTCTATGGCTTTGGAACAAATATTCTATCTAGATTGACTGTAGGGATATTTGAGATAGTATACAATGGTTAGATCTCCTTCCCCTTGCTAGAATTATCATTTGCTCGAATTTTCAGCTTGGGTTTGAAGAATTATGTTGAAGATCTCCGGACTAAATGCCAAATTTATTCACAATAATCAAAGGGAGGGTAACAAAGGTTTAGCCAAATTGGCTTGTGAGAGGATTATTAATGAATCCTTTTAGAGCATTGTTGAAATGCCAATATTGTAGGATACCATAGACAACATTATAGACCCTTTTGTTTATCGAGTCTCTTCTATTTTGGAAATTACAAGACCAAACCCTACTATTTCTATGTTATCTTCGATCACAAAACCCGTGGTTGTGCAGTATAAGTAAGTGTTCATTAGATAATTACTTTCATACCTTGCTATGTTCTGTTAAAAGTAGTTAATCAAATGATAGTTAGCCACAAAACAAGATATTCCACAAGAAGGGATGAGAATTTAGATTGGTATAGGATATTTTTGAACCATAAATGCTTCTTAAGCCATGTTCGCTTTTTGGTAAGTTACTTACCCGGGTAAATGCAGTTATCTGGGTAAGTTTTTCCTAGGAAACACTTATCTAGGAAAAACTTACTTGGGTAAGTGTATTTACCCATGTTCTTTTATTTTTCATGTAAATAAGGCAATGACCATTTTAGCCAGAAAAATCTATTATTAAAAGGGGCATTTTTGTCTCATACAAGTGTTGGCAACTTTCCCCCTAGGTGGGAAAGTTATTTACCCACCTAGGAGATGGGTATCACTTACCCGGATAAGTGGTACCCAGGAAAATAAACTTTCCTTGGTCACCACATAAATATGAAAAAAGAACATGGGATTCTTGGTGAATGGGATTGTAGAAAATAAAAATTAGAAATTGAAAGAATCAAAGAAAGTCTTACATGTGAAAATAATTCTTGGAATTAGATTGTTAATTACTTAATTTGTTAGTGCTTTCAAAGCTTTGTCCATTGACTCTATTCAAGTGTTTCAAAAGCGCAAGGCACATAAAAAGCAAGACACAAAAATGCAAAAAAAAAAAAATCTAAAAAGTCCAAGAGAAGTAAAAAATTTCCTAATGGACTCGGATTGTGATATAGCGCGATCCAGTCACTCCTAGCTGACACTCACGTGGCTCCTGGAACATACCTGAGAATAAGAAGAATCCTGGGGGGAGTTACCCGGCGGGAACACTCCGATGATTAAGTTAGTACTTGGTAGGAGAAGCAAGGAGAAGATGAAGGCTAAGAGTGCAGATAGCATGAGTATGGAAGATGAAGATAATTAAGATACCTGTCCTCCTTGATACTAAGCTCCTTATAGCAGAAATCGATTGCCTCTGGCCCCTTGGCTTCTGATAGGGCTGGTATAACCGTCACTGTCAATTTTCCGCAGCCGTTACTAGCAGGGCTGAGGTGGCACGCACGGGGCCGTCACCGCAGGGTATGTGACTGTCAGGTGTAAGGCACCTTCTAAAGGTAGCAGACACGACGTTGCCTGACGAGGGACATGGCTACTGTCCCCCGATTTTTCAGGTACGGTGGTCGGGCAGGAGATCTTCCTACGATATGTCAGACTACCCTTTCGCGAGTTACCCTATGCCAGGCTATCTCGTAAGCGGTGAGCTGCCTGTGGCAAGCTAAGCCGAGCTGTCTGGCCCGAGGTGTCTTCACCTTGGGTGTTTGTAGGCGGATCGGTGTGTTCTTGTCTGGGAGTGACCCGAGGTCCATTGGGAGGAGCTCGGGTATTAGGAAAGGTCAGAGGACCCCGAGCTCGGAGGCAGCTTGTGGTGCCTTAGCCCTGGGAAGGGGGTGTAGGCCAGGCGGCTCATTCGCGAGCTAAAGTTGCCTCGGGTTATTCCTTCAAAGGGAGCTCAGGGAACTCGGAGCTCGCGTCATGGCGAGCTTCTCCTGTTGTGGGCTACGATACAGCGAGCTGCTTTATGGGCCCGTCACTAGGCTATAATGCTAAACTGTTGCTCGCGCTGAGTCAGTGTCCACGTGTCATCATTTCATAGGTCGGGTCAAACCGTCCTCCATCAATTGCCCCCCACTCCTTGTGCTGAGAGCATTGCCTTTGCGCGAGGAGTTCATGAAGCGTGATGGATTGATTTGACCGAAATTCAAACTCAACTAACTATTCACGTTAAATGCGTCCGCGAGAATCAAGGGATTTTTTGACTTTTCTAACTTTTCAGATTCCCAAAATGTGCAGAAGTGGCTTTTAATTTCGAGCGTTGTGCAACTGTCATTGCCTCAATCACGGAAGACGTGTCGCCAATCGCCTTTGGTTTTTAGAAGGTGTGCGGTTAGTGCGCCTGCGAGCTGTTGAATCTGCTTAGATCTGGGCCGTCGCTTTGGGGAACCACCAATCACCTTCAGTTTTCAGAAGGCATGCGGTCAGCGCGCCTGCGAGCCATTGGATCTGCTTAGATCTGGGTCGTCGCTTCGGAGACATTGGGGCTATAAATAGGGGGGCCCTCTAAGCCACGTTTCCCCCCACTCTAGCTTGTTGTCTTTGGATTCTGAGGTTGCGCACCTATCAAGCCTACCCGAGTTCCTCAACTTATTTCATCCCGTCTCCTTTCGGTGAGTCTTACTTTTTGTCAATCATGTCGGGATACCCGTACCATGTCCGTCACCATGGTGGTGACCAAGATGATGATGCTCCCTCGGGCTCGGGGGGAGCTTGGGAGCAGGTTCTGGGGGCTAGGGAGTTCTCCGGCGAAGGAGCTTCCACTTCGCGGGGAAGGGAGCCCGATACTTTCGGCCCTTCCTCCATGACAGAGGGGAGACTTAGGGCTCTGATTATCTACTTCCACCTCCCTAGGGACCTCCTCTACTACATCCTCACTTGTAACTTTCCGTGGGAGCATGGCCCCAATGACAGTCATTTACCAGGAACAGATCGAGGCTGGCCTGCGTCTCCCTCTGCACCCCCTGATAGTGGAGGTGCTAAACCACTTCAATGTCACTATTGACCAACTCCATCCCAACACCATCCGGAACTTGGTTGGGACGATATCCTTGTGTTGGGAATACTGTCTTCCCCTGAGTCTGGACATCTTTTTCGCCATCCTCTGTATAAAAAATGCCACTCCCGGGGTTTCACCAGAGAGGCGTCTCTACTACTTCTCTCCCCGTCGTGGCTACAAGCTCTTACATGAGCTTCCGAAGAAAATCCCCGCCTGGAAGCGGGATTATTTTTTGGTCCGCAACCCTGAAGGGTGGCCCTTCGCTACTTCTTGGAGGGGCGCCATCCAGGACTCTGGGGTCGAGTTGGACCCTGAAACTCAGAAAACGATGCTGTCCTGGGCATCGGTTG